AGGCAAACAATACTGAAAAATATTTACATATATCATAAAAGCATATCACTCCTGGATTTATCCTGCAATAGCTTGCCTTTTGAACTTAAATAGCGTTTGGAATATGAAAGGCATTGTCCATCCTGCTGTTTTGAAATTTTGTGACTTTCTTCTTGAAGAATTTTCAGTGAAATGCCAGCACTTTTCCTGGTGGGTATGTACACTTGGGCTTATAATCGGGAATAGAATTGATTTCTTAGCAAACATTCCCCATCCTCAAACAATTTAATTGTCTTTAGAACTCATGATGCAATAAGCTTTACCTTCTCAAATGGAGCCAAGGCCTTGGCTGTTTCACCAGCCAGCAAGTACTGCACTCCTAGTGCTCTGTTAACATCTGGATCGGATGGAAGAAATGCTACAAGCTTTTCTAATACTCTCACTGCTCCCAAAGGTTTTCCAAGAAATGATAGCCTTTCTGCACTTCTAAGCAGAGCAAGTTTCTTCAACGTAGATGGGCAATCTTCAATATCTGGTACAGTATTAAAAAGCTTTATTGCTTCCAATAGGAGCTCATTGCTTCTTTTTTTCTCGGCCTCTTCATCAATTGCTTTTGCTTTTCCATATCTTGCATATGGGCTTTTGGGGTATTTCGTAGATAAAACTGAAAATTCTCTGACAGCATCATCAATTCTCTTACCATCTAACATTTTGGTAGCTTTTCTTAATACATCGCTTATAGATTTATCATGCTTGTTTAAAAGTTTCTTAAGATCATCAGCTTTGGGTTTTGGAGCATCCTTTGTTTTGGTCTTTGGGGTGGTCTTTGGGGTGTCCTTTGGCTTTCTCTGTTCCTCTTTACTTGGTTGAGGTTTTTTTCCAATGAAAGAATCCTTACTGCTGATCAAAATTATGCCTGCTATCACAACAAAGGACAAAATTGCAATTGATGCAAACTTCAGGTATACATAATTTTTGCTTTTTCCTTTCCCAGTCTTGCTTTCTGAAAAATAACAATTATGGATTTAATGTTTGTTCAGAAGAAGCCAGATACCTTCTGTGGTGCATAAAATTAAAATGCAAGGAGAAGGTTAGAAATATGGTCCAAAATTTTATATTACGACCACAATGAATGTTATAAAGTCTTGATTGAAGCTGTTGTGAAGCGAATCCATAAGGACAAGCTTGTCTAGGGGCTGTTTTACAGCGTATTGACATTTTGATCTTCATTTGTTTTGGCTTTTCTTTCATGGCAGGCGATAATTATTTCTTAATCCTCTGACGCATGTTCTTTTTGTTCTATTGCTCAAACGGCCGCGAGAGCTTTGAGAACCTTGAGGGCCGCGAAGCTGCAAGGTAATCAGATCCCTGTTTGATGACCTTTTCGATGTTTCTGTGACGTAGGTCTTATTGTGCTGATGGCTTTTGAACAAAGAGCCCCACACAGCAACGTAATCATTCCGCAGTTTCATTACCTTGAGAGCAGTTCCACATCCTTCATGATTAGTAGAGTGCTTACAAACGACTATTGCTGGGGGTATTTTCACTACATTCTGAGCAAGAAAATCAGCTAATCATGAACAGCGTTAGTAATTAAAAAAGGATGGATAGCCATGCTCCAGAATAACATAAAAAGGATGAACCAGTGAGTCTGTCTATGTGTTTATTCGTGGATATGTGGATGTAACAACAAAGAAGGAAGGGACATTTTTTATTGCTGGTCTCTTTGTGATGGGTGGTTTATCAACGGTGCATTTAAGATTTAATAATTTATTTCAGGAATATTTGCCAAATAGGAAAGTTTTACTTCAATATTTTGATAAAAAATTAAAGATTAAACAATTTAAAGAGGCTTGTAGTAAATTTAAAAAACTTTTCAAAAACTACTAATAAGTGTTCTCTTGGAAAATCATTGTCCAGAAAATGTGCAGAATCGTTTATCCTGGACAAATAAGTCTGCATGGAATCTTTACGTAGTGATTCCTGGTCATTCCTTTCAAGGTAAGCAAATCCACTTTTGATTACCTTGCCCTTTTTACGGCTCACGACAATGGGCTTTTGGCCGATTTTAATAGGTCTGTTCTGTTATTTTAGAATCATTTACAGGCTCAAAACCCATGGCATGAACTGTCAGCCGTTCACTGCAACTCCAAAACAGAACCTCAAGGCATTTGGTTGTTTTGTTGTGCGGCGGAATATTCTGTGGTTGTAAGCACAGAAAGGGAACTCAGACATTAAGTAAATAATCAAGATCGACCTTAAATATGTTGGATGTTTAATGATGATTCTTTATGTACATTTTAGATGAAAGCGCCTTTCATACTAAGACGCTTTCATGGTTTACTTCGACAGGGTACAAAATGGCAGTCATCAAGCATCCCAAAACTAAATTCTACCTAACCGCACAGCTAGGTTATATCGATGTTGCTTGTGCATTAGATGAGGCAAGGCAAAGAGAGGCTGTTAGGCACAACAAAAATGCATCAAGATACGCATAAATGGTTCATAATCACATTGATAATGTTGTATATTTTTCCGCACAAGAAAAAGCAAGAGGGAAATTGTTTTCGAAATTGCTAAAACATTTGAACCATCAAGCATATGATTCTTCGCCATTCTTCGGGTTTTTGAAAGGGCGTGGCCCTGAAACCCTGGCGGATTCGCTCGCTTTGCTCGCAAATTTTTGATTACCTACTTTGCGACGCTTCGCGCGACCCCTGATGGCAAGTATTTACTAATCTGATCTATAAAAATGTATTTATCCATAAATGTTCTGTAACTTGAGAAGAGACTTTCCCAAAGATAAGTACTTCCAAACATGCAACACATCTTCTTGGCATGCTGCACCAGACCTGGATATGGACAATCACCCTGGAGACACTCTTTATAAAACTGTACTCTCCTCTGCAGAGCAAATTGGGGAGGGAGACTGGGAGGGAAAGAGAGATAGGATAAAGAGACTGTAGAAGAAAAGAAAAAGTGGAGTAGCTGCGAGAGAGAAGAAGCATCCGCCCACCCCCTCCTATTCTTTGCACTTCGCCATTGCTCGAACCCCATCTCCTTCCCCAATAGCCTCTGTGGAGGAGAGTAACAAAACTGGATAAGATCAGTGTCCTTGTATTTGAATTTCAATTCACTGGTACCCTGCAGATCGATCAACTTCATTTAATGATTTTCAGAGGCCATCTCAACTTTGACATCAAATGGTGAAGCATGTTATCATCCACCTTTCCAAAGCTTATTTCACGAGAATAAGCACACTGAAAAAATTTAATGATTGAAATTTTGGGGCTGTTTATTTTATTTCTATTTTAGCCTGTAAAGTTTGAGACCTGAATTTTGTTTTGAGCCGCTTTTTTAACACAAGGTATATAAAAGTCGAAGGCCCTGTGGTCCCCAAAGAAAATTTACATGTTTTCTGGCCCCGCACTCGAAGTACTAACGAACCCCTGTGCTATGCCCGCTTAAACTAAAAGCCTTTCACATAACATAACAACACTCTTTTATAGGAAAATGGGTTAATAAGAATATTGAAAAACAACGATCTATGTTATTAAGATAATTAATTGGTGTTTTTGTTACATTTTCTAAAATTCTATGAAGTTTTTATCAACAAGACAGCAAAATATAATTTGCTTTGGACTTTCTCTCTATGTAACCGTTTTCAAAAACAATTTAAGATTATGTTTCGACTCACAACTTACAATTTTCGAGGAATTACAATTTTATAATAAAACTGTACCTCTGTAAACTCAAACTGAATATAAAGAACTGCTAAATAGCTATTCAAAACTTTACCTCTATTCTTCTGTGGTAGTTTTTTCGATTGAGCCTTCAATCTCTGTCTTGAATTGTCACTGGCTGCCATTTTCAACGAAATAGGAAAACTGCAACATTTAAATTTATTAATGTTGGCTAGGCCTAGGCCAAGTGCGTGACCACGAGATCGAGGTTTCGTTCGTCTTTTCAGCTGCGTTTCTCTCCTTCAGCAGCTTTGTAAATATTGAAATATAGTCAGGGACAAAGCGACACGACAGAATTCAATGTATTAAAATTCATCTTTTTAAAACTTATGTTTCATTACATCGGATTCTCGTCGTCGTGTCGCTTTACTATTTTTCCTGACTATTTTTCGCGTTATTACTCCTTGCAAGATCACAGAATCCGGGTGACAGCATATCATGCTTTTCTTTCTTCTTGTACACATTGTAAATATTTGCTGTTAATAAGTTCTTTCGAGTGTTTTTGGTCAATGGAGATTTATCGAACTTTTTCCAGATCTACCAAGACCTCATTTCAAGATTTCAATGCCTGTTCAATGCAATTAACAAATGGTAATGAAATTGAATGCACGGTATTCACAGTCAATAGAGAAAAGTTCTCCTATTGGCTATGATTGTACCAGCAAACAATAATTTGCAAGGGTTTTTCAAAACAACTATGGGATATTCAATAGAATCAAAACCAACGTCCTGTCCCATGCTACGATGAGGCAGAGCAAAACAGGCAATGGGGCCGGGGTAACTACCTGCAGATGGTGATGATAACATTGACATTTATCAAAGTTATATTTAATTATAATTATAATTAATTATATTTAATTATAATTAATTATAATTATATTTAGTTATATTTAATATAACATTGACATGTTATATTCTAAATAAGTCGTCAACGTGTAACCTAACTTGAAAAAAGGTTTAACAAGAACGATGTTATAAACGTTGCCAAGTTGACTGAACAAGAATTCGATCGATATGCATATGAAACTACAAACCGCATCCCGTGTAAAATGCGAATTTGATGACGCCACAATAAAGAACATTTTATCAGATCTTTCACCTTGTTTTACTTGTTGTTCCTCCCACCCACTTGGCCGAAGTGAAAGTTCCCGCCCGTTCAATCGACTCGTTAGATTAGTTTTTAGAAGAGAGATTATGTCATTTTATGGGCATCAAATGATCTACAAGAGAATTTCAAGGACGATATATTTTTACGTACTTTCCCCGAGGAATTGTTTTTTGTATAATTTAGCAGTAATTTTTATCACTCTGAGAATCCTTTCATTGAATTGCACCTCATGGGTATGCCATTTTCATTGATTCGTTCGCTTTTCAATTCATTCGAGAACTTCCTTATTTTCTATTCACACGTTTAGGTGAAAAGTAGAAAAACTTGCAACAGTTGGCACCTTTTCTTTAACAAGAAAAATGAAAAATTGTACTGGATAGTTCTGGAGAGTATGGTTGAGTTTGAAGGAACGAAATGCCATGTCACTCGAAATTAAAGCTTTCTTCGTGAGCGTTAGCTTTTTAAACATTCCACATTTGATGCATTCCATACAACATTCCAATGTCCTTCCATTTTAGGTAGTGGCAATAATTTCATGCCGAAGTTATTGCGGCAGTCTTGTTGCAGCCAATAAACAATTATTTTTCCAGTGAGCATATTATAATCAGCCTTGAGGAAAGTAGAAGGAGGAGGAGGGGAAGTTAAATGCAACAGAAGCTGAGATAGTGCTCTAAAATCTTCGATGAACATTTACACAAAAATTATCTAAATTAATCGACAATGACGAGGATTTCTCTTTCTAGGCATGCCAAGCAAATACTGCTATAAAATTCATATAGACTCTTTACGCTACGCAACCCTTACTTAACTACAGGGAAGATTGGACTGCAGTATTTCTCTGTTACTAAGTGGGACAATCGCAACACCAAAGTCAACTCATTAATTCCTTAGCTTGAAAAACAGAAAAAGCATGGCCAGGGAAACTTTTTATAACGAGGAAGGGAGGAGGGGGGAGGGATGGGGGATGGCTGTGTCTAAAATTTCAAAACAAAATTAGCTAAAACTTTATATGGAGTCAAAGGAAAAATGAAAGCAATAAGCTAAATTGACAATTGTCTTTGAATTTCAAATTGATTTCAAACAAAACCTACACCCGAGAAAACAATATTGCTCGATATCTTTTACCAAGATTCCGCTTTCTCTTACCAAGGGCTACCCTCCTTAGTTTTAAATGAAATGAAATGATAGCTTCTCAAAAATTATCAGTAGCTTTTCGTGTTGTTTACAAACCTAACTCTTCATAATATTCTATAAAAGATCTACCATTTTTTACTGTTCAAAGTTGATCGCTTAGACAAATTTAAGTATCAAAACCAACTCTAGCCTGCATTTAAACTAAGAAAACGATTATTTCTTATTAACTTTTATAGTACCAACTCTCTCTCTCTTCATCAGTGATTTCTAAATTTGTTCCCTCAATGACCGCCTCCGCAACTGTTCCTTCGCATTCAAGCTCTTTGGTTTTTTCAAGATCTGAAAAGAACAAGAACGTTTATTAGAATGGAGGTGTTACCTGTTTGATTATCATGATCCAATTAATCAATCCTCGCTATCATAATCGTTTGAAGATTGCACGAAATAACGGAGGCATAGCATACTGAAGAATTTTTCGTCCACAAGATTGTAGAACTGCAAACAGCATAAAAATCAAGATGATGAAGAATTAATCGTGATGTTCGCATTATCGTGCAACTCAGATTTGCAATTTAAAACAGTCAATTTCTAAACACTATGTTGTACAAATTCAGGCTAAAATGTTTCACTTTATTCCTTAGGGTAAAATATTTCTGACATCATCTCTCTGAAAAATGGCGACAAACACCAAAGCCTCGTTTTACCCCTACCCTAGTGTAACGCCTCTTCTCTAGTGAGCAAGAATCAAATCAAGAGTTGCTAGATATCAAATACAGCTGACAGCTGAGAATGTAAACTTACTTAGATGTTTAAAGAAGAATGACGTCATTAGACTCCTTTGTAGATCTATAGCGTGGTCTTGGCTCATCGTTGCACTCATTCGAAACACAGTCAGTATCCATTTTGGTATGATCGAAGGAATGTCGCATTGGCTGTGGTGTCCAGTTCCCCTGATACAATGAACACAAAACCATATCAAGATGTGACTCCTGCAGGGAATAAGTCTTCCCGCGGGTGATTACGTGGGTATGAAATATACCTTATACAAGCTAACTAGAGCAGACTAAGTTAATTAATTTTTTCACTTTATTGCATCATTAGCATTTCGTAATTTGCACCAGATCTCAACGTTTATTGGTTGATGACAGGGTGGTTTCTCGGTCGGAGCAAAATAAACCCCCCAAATCGACAGCAACCTCCGGTGTAGATTCGTGCTTAAAAAACTATCTAAGCAAACTTGAAATAAGTAGACAAAAATTAAGGCAGAGAAAAGATCTTTCAAAACGAAAGAGCCTATGGTAACAAATAAAAACCGAGAAAAATGAATGTAATAAAGATGCCGTAAGGAAAATGAATTTTGAGGCTTACTTGATTGTCAGCATCTGCTTTTGTTCGTCTGTAGGAAACAAAATTCATTTCGTATTAACGTAAGGAAGTCTAATAATTAAAACTTTCCGAAAATTCAGGCTCTTCTACGCTTCGCCGGGTTGAAGCATAAGATACCTACCCAAGACCGGCAAAGAGTAACAGATCTTAGTAGAGCAGACCATCTAAAAGGCGAGACAGCTGTGAGCATTTTCTCTAAACATATATCTTTCAGTTTATCTGATATTTTCCCTTGGTCTAATGATCCATGCAGACAGCCTGCATGTTGGTAAAAGGTTTGAAGAGAACGGCACAACCAAACAGTATGCAGACAAAACATAAAAAGTTATACATAAAATCAGCAGGAATTTCCTACAAATTGCTCATTAGTAATCAACATCAGCAATAACAAAAATTACAGAATTAGTCCCACTCTGTATAACATGCATCAAGAATAATTGTTCTTGAAACACCTAGGTATACAAGCAGAAGCAAGAGGCAACAATTTAACAGTTTGAATTTCTCTATTGCGAAAAATTTTTGTTCAATAGTTAAACTGTTAAACTTCCTACCGTTTCCAATAATTTGACTTATTTTCTTTATATTTCCTTTCCAGTGGAATGTCTCCGAGTTTATAAATAAGACAGGCTGCTCTACTTTTCCATAAACATTTTTATCCAAAGGAAACATCCATGCATCAAGAATAACAGCGCAGCTGAAAAGCAAAGATATGGACTTCACTTGTGTGAAAGCAGATTATATCTCATAATAAATTCTGCTTCATATTTTCATTAAACTGACAGCCTGCTGTGAGATTGTAAATATATAATTCCACAGAAGAGAAAGTGTTCAAGTTGAGTAAATAACATATCTATTGAACTTGTTTGTTCGTAGAGTTATGGCGTGTGTTAAAAATGAAAGTGCAGAGGTTTATATACAAGTAATATCTTTTGATAGCAATATGTTTGATATATAGGGAAAAAAGCCTTTCCATAAAGAGATCGTTCGCACAAAAACGTCTTCCAGTTCATACAAAGAACTCGTTACAAGGGCAACTGAATAATGATTGGGACTTACTGAAAACGCTTGTCTTGTGCCAATGTTTTCAAAGAGGTACATCCTCCAAACGAATGTCCAGCTATAGCAACCTTCTCGAAATCTAGTGAACCCTAAAAAATGACCAAAGGTAAAATTCAGTGACGTAGCCTGGGTGGTAAGATTGAGGGGAGGGCAAAGGCAAGTTGAGTGAGGGGAAAATGGTGATCCACATCCACTGGAACACCTGATAACGCCCTTTTGAAAGCAATTTTTTGCCATTGAGGGGGAGGGGAGGCAAGGTCCTCTTGCGTCCCCATCAGTATGCTACTGGTTAAATTTATCTTCATTATAACAGACTGAGTGTAAGCACACGAAGTTACACGAAAGCATATGCAAGTATTCATAAGTCTCACCTGCAAAGAACTTAAATCAAACCCTGAATTTAGCACGTTTAAGTTCTCAGAATTTTGTCCTGTATTACTGTTCAGCATGGTTAATATAGACAGTGCAGCAGACATCTCGAATGCACGCTGGGTTACCTGCAACAAAGCGAGCTTTAGTAACATGATGTCAGGTTCTCTAATGTTAGTACAAAAAGACACAGCTCTAGTCTTGGTCAGTACATAGGTCCTGCAACTGCAAAAGTGATGACAATGGTTGTTATTGCTACATCAGTATCTATGAAATGTTGGGGTTTGATTGCTTTTTAAGATGAAAGAAAGTAGCAGTCGGGTCTGCTAGTTCAGAGGTTCAAAAGGTTTATATCGGTAGCAGTCAGGTCTGGTATATCAGAGGCTTTCCTGTCTGTCCATACGAAACCGACAGCCCCCAGACTAGACTTTAGCCATTCTCCGTTTATCTAACGGTCAATATCGATAGCCTACAGCCCAACAAACAGCTCATCTATAGGTCAAAAAGTTTTCAAACAGGACCAAAAGGTTCATCAATAAGCAATAAGAATAAAAGGCAAGATTTTCACTTAATAGGCTATTGGAGAAATACGCCCAAAAATGTTGTCGATTGAAAAAATTTTGCCCAGTCTACAAAGGCTGTCTGAAAAACTTTACATGGCTGTGAAATGCAGTTCAAAATTTAGTTTCACGAAACAGAATCAGCAGATTTGTTTAAGGCTTTTGAAAAGCTACAAATATTACAATAATAGGCTACAAAAGTGATACTAAAAACTACTTGTAAATTACTACATTAGTGATGCTACAAAAGCTACTTGTAAATTACTTCGAAACTAAGGAGTGATTGTGAAAACACATAAGGTCCTCATAATAGTTATTGTGGTAATTGCCTAAAAGGTAACTGCTCTAAGGTAATTTCCCTCTTGTCCAACTCAAAGCAGTCTGAGGATAAGAGCATACCTGGCCATTTCTCAGTTTGAACTCATCTTCTCCCTTTATTAGTTTCCTAAATCGAACAGTCTTCTCTTCTTTATTGTCATCTATATAGTAGGTTGCAGATGCAGAGTGGTCTCTGAAACATGTTCAAGCTCTAAGTTAAAGTAAATTGAGACACAAAAGGACATTTTTTTACATCTGCTGCATCAAGGTAGCTCTTGAACTTTTGAATAGAAAAAACAATTGTTAATTAACTTATTTTTCCTCACTCAATCAATCAAAGAAACAGGGATCGACTTACCATTGGGTGTAGGAGGTGGAACAAATTTTTATGTTCTTGGGCAATGTTTACTCCTATTCGGTAAAAACATTTTTGGATGTCAGGAGTACAAAATAATGCAATAACTTTACTTATCTTCTTACCTTCTGCATCTTGTTGTTAGGGGCTGAATTTACTAAGGGGGTATTTTCATAAGGGTATATTTAAAAAAAGAAGGAACAGACTTTGAAATTGTTCAACTATAAACCAAGAGTATAGACGGGATTTACATGGCTCTATGATATCTAAACAATATGAAAAAGTTAAAGCCAAGAATTATCTCAATGCAAAGCAACGATAGGCTTAACAGGTCAAGAGATTTTCAGACCTTAACTAAAAGTTTTGACAAAGAAATTATGGAAACCTTCGTTTACATAGTTTTTTTTTTCAAAATGTCCGTTAGTTTCAAATTTGGTATCATTGTGTGCCTTGAATGTTCGGCTACTTGAATGTGAAATAATCAAAAAATGAATGTTTTTATCCAGAAAACGTTTACCGTAACCTTAACATCAATAATTTTCCAGTCACCTGAAGGGTGAGGCACAAAAATTGAATCATTATCTAAGACTTCTTCAATCCTTGTAGCTTAAATTCACCATTACAAAGGATGATTCACTAAATGCCCCACAACACTATTACAATCATACACGCATTGTGATTTCTGCTTGGCATCCCTATGAAAAGCTAATTCATTTATAGGTTTTGTGGTAAAAATTAAAATAAATAAGAGAGGAAATATTGGCTTTAATTTCACAGAGAATTCATTTACAGAAATTAAAAGTAGAAAGCATTAAATATGAAAAATCACTTGCTTACCTATGTTCCACTGCAGCAACAAAAAAACCTTTGGAAGCGAGGTCTGAACAAAATGAGGAATAACAAGTTCTGTTTGCTCCCAAACCATGGCTGAAAATAACAACTGGAAACTTGTGACTTTTTTGGTTGTGACTATCATCTGTTATGTTCAGCAAAGGAGCATCTTCTAAAGCATGCATCTTGGCATCTCCTGATGTAAAACATAAAACAAGAATGCTGCATAAGAAGTATTTATGCATAGAAACCTTTATGCATGGCATACAAAACTGAGGTACACAACAGAGGAAGCAATTTGCACAAATCTTACAATGGTCTTAACTAATCAATGATTTTAAACAGGGTTTCTCTAACTACCTTAAATCCATCAAATAGCAACTTAGAACGGCCCTGTTCTAAACACAAAAAGCGTTCACAACTCTGCTTATACGGCATCAAGCACACTACCGCGACCTAGACATGTGAACAGTTATTTTCATCAAAATCCTTTATATAAAAGGTGATACAAAAAGAAGGATTAGAAACAACATGGACCATTCCACTTGTGTTCAGCTGAGAGATCTCACTCGAGTTAGAAGAATTGGACAATGAAGTTGGAAAAGACAGCAGAACCCTTAAAGGCTTATTAGCAGAGAATTCCCCAATCCTCTCTTGTTTGGAGATGAATCATGCCCTTCTTCTAGACCATGCACTAGCTCCTGTTTCAGGGTCATTGCACATGTGCATTATCATTTGAAGCCCTGACAGGAAGTTCAAGAGTTGTTTGGTCACAGACAGAACAGCTGTGTGAAAACTGTTACTAATGCACATGTTCCATGACCTTGCAACACTGATTGGTTAAGACAGTATTGTTTCGAATAACCTATGAAATAAATATAGATAGCTTGGCCTGGTTTTGATAACCAGATTTGATAACCAGAAGACCATTCTTTCAACCATCAGTCTTGCAACAACCACTTTTTTTAGGGCCCTGGTAGAAAACTAGACAAGAAGCAACCCCAAATCATGTACCATAGAAAAATATTGTAATCATGACAATACCCATCCTTGCCTCTCCTTAAAGAACATTCCTTTGGGAAGCACCACACCCGGGGCTAATTTGAGTACTAACCTTGCAAACCTTGCTAGTTTTTATGGTTACTTTGCCAACAAGTATGCCAAGCTAGCTTCATTATACTGGTTGCTTACATTAGATGTTGTCATTGACCAGGGTCAGAAATTGCAGGGTTATTGGGGAAGGACAAGAGCCCTACAGCTGTTGCTAATTGTCAGTTCAAACACAGTTTCAAGCAATTTGGTTGGTAAATTTTATCCTTCATCAGACAAAGTTGTTGTTTTACATATTCACATTGTAAAGGTCTACTTGTGTCAACAATATTCTTGTTAAGACAGAGCTTTTTCCATCAAGAAACAGAATACGAAAAGGGAAGAAAAATTGAGGGATTTTTGGAAAACTAATATATGGATTGACAGGTTTCAGTTTTCAGTTCAGTTCATTTCATTTTTAAAAATCCATACATACAAATCTTTTAAAATACAGCAGCAGGTTACAAAAGATGAAATAAATTACATACAATGAGAGAAATAGAGAACAAGAAAAAAATATAGATGACTTTATAAAAACGAAGGAGATTTGCATGCAGGAAACTCTTAAAGGAGGAGCTCTCTCAAAAGATAGACTAATCAAGGAGAGAGCACCCCCTGTGGTAAAAATCTATTAAATTGGTATCTACACCACATGCTGCCGAGGAGGGAGCCATAGGACCAACGAGAACAACTGCCACGCAACCTCCACTCCCTCAGAAAAGAAAATAACAAAGACTGCCTGACAGCCATCCCCATCCATCCCACACCCCCACACAGAGCAGCTTATAGTGACATCTTCATAGTCTTAAGAAGACGTTACAAAATATTCTATTGTTGGTATCTGGTGGAGAACAGATGGAATTTTAGTTTCCGTCGAAAATTTGTAACTGTAGTAGATTGTTTGATGACGCAGGGAATGTTGTTCCAGGATCTGCATATCTAACTGATCTTAAACCATATTGCAGGGTATTTTCTTGAGTCATAAAAATATCACCTTTGGAGGCTTGTCTTGTATCATAGTGATGAACAGATGTCAAAGTTGCAAAAAAATTGTGATAAAGGACAGGAGAAATCATGTCCACAGATTCATAAACAAATGTAAGCAACTTTTAACTCAAACAAATCATTCAGTTTAAGAATTTTCAAATCAGAGTTTTAGTAGAAAGCAACAGAATATTTGCAGATCGCAAGCTCTGCATCAACAAAGAAAATATTAATTTAGCTGTCAATGGATAGCTGACAAATGTATTTACCCATAAGCCAACGAGCAATCCTGCCAAGTATAAAAGTTGGCAAATGCACAAAGTCCAAAAAGCCATCTGCATAAAGGCCCTTTGGTATCCACTTTGCTCGTTCATGTGTATTTGCAGACTCCTTAGTAGTTGGGTAAAAAAACCGCATAAAGTAGCCTGGTATTTCTTTCGCATTTTCGCTGCCGAATTGCAAATTCTGTGCTACATCTTCAGTGTTTAAATTGAAAGAACTCGTTGTCATTAAATCTGTACAGCCGACTTCATACTGGCCTTTGTTTGGAGGAATAAAATCCATGATTTGGTGGAGCCCTTTAAAAAAGGATAGCGATCGTGTGTACAGCAGGGCTCCAAATAAAATATTCTTACTTCCCGTGGCTCGTTGGAAACAGTACATTTAATTTACGAAATCCGATCGACTAGTTCCGCCAGCCGGGTTAAAGTCCAAAAAAATATTGTTGCCGCCATTTGTAAGCGTTATCCTTAGCCTCGTACTGAAAAGGGGGTGTGTACCTATTTTAATTTTTTCTCAATAAAGATGGCTGGTCAAAGAAGGCCTCAAAAATAATACTATCAACTTTTTAAAACGACCATTCATATCAAGATGTCTAAGCAACAAACAAGTGAACTGATTATATGTCAATGTCAACACTAGACTTCTGCGAGGACTTCTGTGTCTCATTCAAGAAGCTCTACAAGAGGTTTGCAACCAAGTTTAGGATATGTAGCTGTCAACATGTCAGCCTACAAATTTCAAGTATTCTATTGTCCAAGTCTGCCTGTCAACTATTCAATAATTTAAGCTTCAAATTTAACTTCAAAATTTCAGTATATTTCAACAGATAGTAGCATTTTGCAAACAAAGAAACTTTTTGCAAAATCTTTGGCTATGAGTCTTTTAAATAGATCTTGGCCCCCAACATCCCAAATGTACTGAGGGATAACTCGTGCAGAAATGCCAACAGATAGAACGCTCATGCGTGAATCTGTTGCATAATTCTCGCTTTCTTTGCTAGAGGGTAAATTCAATCAAACATTCAAGAAGTTATAAAATCGAAATATAGTAACTCCTTCCAACTTAACTAAACCGTTTTCTGGTAATATTTTTTGTGCTAATGTTTAAAAGGAAATTATTCATGATGTTCATTCAGATTATAAAGCAAAAAGTAAACAATTCCCAGAACAAAGGTCATATGACGTCACACTTAAGAACTCGATTCCTCGAAATTAAACGGAAGCAACAACAACAGCTTCCACAATTCCGTTGCTGACATTATTGTATGTAATCATGTATAAGCTGAACTGTTGCGGTTTTGGTGTCATGACCCCTAATTGTGGTATGTATAGAGCAGCAATGCATCGAGTCCGTGGAAAGATTACGAAAATTTCCGTTGAAAGAAATCGGAGGCACGATGAGAGACATATCTTACAGCTCGTTTGAAAATGTTGAAATTCCTACATGCTCCTTTTCTTCCGAAGAGTGCGCAGAAAAAGAGGTGCGATCCGAACCGAAACATGGCGATTTGTCAAGAGGTGTGTTGGTTTCGCGGTGGAAGAAATATGTTATTTTGGTCTGCCTGTCCGTGTACTGGTTCATATCGACCTGTTCTTTCTCCATGATTGCTCCATTCTATCCAAAGGAGGTATTTGTTTTTATTTTGTTATAATTTCATTTCAATCAACTGTTTTTGAAACATCACAGAAAGTTAAGACTTCGAGGGCATGATTAAAGGTTAGAGGCGTGCTTGCTGTTCTTGTGTTATTCTGAATGCTTGCATTGATTCTTTTTTAAATAGGTGTCAAAAGAGAGCTAAACAGGGAGGTAAGGCCAAGGCAAAGTCATCAACCCACTATTATGGCATAGTATCATTATAGTCTTATAACTTTTTCAAGAGGAGGAGGTGTGGTCAAAATGTTTTCTGCGCACCCTAGGTTTGCAAGGTACTGTAGATAAGCCAACTTGTCATATGGTAATGGTAAAAATCCCAAAAGTTACATTAAAAAATTTTTTTTAATTAGTAGTCCTCACTACATTTTATCTCTTTCTTTAGAAGTTAGAGCATACAAGGCATAAAAATAGCTGAGTCAGTGATTAAGAAAACACATTCTAACTAGTCATTAACTTCAATAACTGTTAATAATAATTATTACATATTTTACATCAACAGGCAGAATCAAAAGGTGTAAGTTTGACTGCAACTGGCTTGGTTTTTGCTGTTTTTCCGCTGACTATGTTTATTGGTTCCCCAATTATGGGCATTTTGGTAGGCCATTTTTTATATCTTAAGTAGTAACTAGTGGCAGGTAAATAGAGATTTTTAAGCAATTATGGAAAAAATGTTTAATACTACATTTATTTGATTTTGAGCTGTGGTTTTTGCATCCATCATTTCAAACCAAGTATCTCTGCATGATTTTGTGGTTGCAGCTTATAATCAAGGGCAGCTTTTAAACAAGGGTGGCTTTTAATCAAATAAATATGGCATTTAGCAACAGGTATATAGATATTTTCAAGCAATTATGATATAAAGTTTAATTGTGTATTCAGAAATGCCAAACAACCAGTTATGGTAGGGGTTTTAAAAGGAAATGCCGGAATAAACAAAGCTGGATCTGATCAAGACCAAAATTGTGAACTGCTATCAGCCCACAAGAATTAGTGAACTGGTATAAAAATATAATTTAAAACAAACACAAAGAGACTGGCATCCTTGAAAGGACCAAGTACCCCTATGACTTGGCACTGGTGTTTTTCTGATCAACCTTACACCTTTAGCAATTAAAATTCATCCAAGCATGAAAAATTTTCTGTGGAGGAAACATTTTATCTTGCAAGATTGTTTGATGACTAACACACTCTTATTGAAGAATGTCTTTTTAAAATAGATTTTACCAACTCCAAGTCGCAAGGTTTTTTAAGGTTAGAAATTAATGCAATGTCATACTAGTTTGCATTTACACAATTTTTTCTATCTGAATCATATCTCAGAAAATAATTTTTTTGGTCAGGTTTATTCTGAGCTGATAAGCTCAATTTTTTTTATCAAATGCTAAATTTTACGTTATTCTGTCTGGCTGTTTTCATATATGTTCTTTTTATTTAGATACCAATCATTGGTCCCAAAAGAGTACTAATAATTGGTTTGATTCTGGAAGGTGGAACACAGATAATTTTTGGGTAACTTACGTTAAACAGTTAATTTAAATTTCATGTTAGCCCAGCCTAACCTCCTAATGAGTTGATTAAATTATCTAGAATGTTGTTTGTTTACATTTTCTACTAATTTTCAAAGTAAGGAAGATTGACTTCATATCTACTGTAAATCCTAGAATTTCCCCCCACCCCCATCAAGGAATCCCCCCCTTGAATAAGCCCTGCCCTAGAATTACAAATTGTCAATAAGCCCCCCTTGAATAAGCCCCCACTGCTACCGTGAATTCTTGAATGGGAACCCCTCAATTTGATGATTTTCGCCATTTGGGGTTGCCTTTGGCGTTTTATTGAACTACTGCAAAAATTCATACCTTTGGTAATAATTAATTGAATGCTCATAAAGAAATTCCTACTAAAATAAACAAGGTCTTTTAATGTAAGCCTCATACAAGCCCCCCTCAAAAAAGGCCCTCATCCAAAAATATCAAAAATAAGTAAGACCCCAGGGGGCTAATTTGAGGATTTATGGTATTTGCACTCTTGATCCTGTTCAGTTCCCACCATCACTGTTCCATAAAAAAGGAGTGACTGCAGAACAACTTGCCCCCTTTCGTCCTAATAAACAGGCAATGGGCACAACCAACAGTAATCAACATCTTTTTCTAAGCATATAAGCTGAATGTATTGTCTTAGCTGTGAAGGTACTGTTTTTGCCAGCATTGCCACTATCCTTTTCTGAAATAGCAATGCACCCTTTTTATAGGTCTGAAAATACTCACATGAGTTGTTTTCAATTGTGAATCAATTTTTTTCTCATAAGAAGTAGATTAAGTGCTATGTATTCGATTAAATGACATAGCTTCTAATCAATAGGAGCTATTGTTAGTTATAGCGCAAAACTTTCACTTTTCAATTCAATTCACCAAGATGTATCTTAAAATTTGCTTTTGTTCTTTTTCAGGTTTGTGCATCAAATGCCAAGAAAAGATGTTTTTCTTGCATTTAGTTTTGTTGTCAGAACCCTTAGTGCTGTTGGAGGATGTGCCACTTCAACAAGTTCACTTGTGATGCTAACAAACACATTTGAAAGCAACATGTCTCCTGCAGTGGTATGTTCCATTTTGACAATGCTTGTTACAAATAAAGATATTTTTTGAGCTGGCTTTCTTTCTGTTTTTTAGTTGTAAACCTTTAACATTCACTTTTAACTATAAATTCTGGTTCATTCAGGGAGTCCTAGAAGCATTTGGTGGTTTTGGAATGATGGCTGGTCCCCCTATTGGTGGCTTACTATATTATGTATGTTTCGTTTGTGGTTAGATTTTTGCTTTATTTAAGGCTGTCTTTCTTGCATGATCTGAAATTTGCAACTCAATATATAGCTTTGTGTAATGAAATAACTCTCAGGAAAAAATGTTCTTCTAAAAAGATGCTGTAGCTTTTTTATCCAATTTTTATACTTATAAAATATTCTTTCAAAAATCTTTGCCTGTGGCCTCAAGCCCGTCTAAAGTTTCTTGTATCTGACATATGTTGTAATCTGTTACTCTTGATGCAACTGTAATCATAGTGCTGTTGTTAAACTTTAGTTTTATTTGCACATCAAGTCATTGTATCCAAATAAGCCTCATGATATTATCTAAATAAGCCTCACTCTATTATCAAAGTAAGCTTCATTAAATTATGCTTAAGGATTCTTATTGTGCCATCTGTTTTGTTATACTTTACTTAAAGAAGTGTTATGTGCCATATGTCTCTGCTTTTTCTGGCCTGAAGCAAAAGTTTAAATATAGCAGTCAAAATAGAATTTGTAGCTAAAACTTGAAACATTTAGAATTTTTTTTTTAATAATGGCTTTCAAGCATTTTGTGAAGTACAAATGCCTTAAATTTCAGGCAGGTGGTTTCAAGCTTCCATTTCTGGTTGTTGGTTGTATAGCTCTCTTTACATTGCTACCATTGTATTTCATTCTGCCTACAATTAATGTTGGTAAGCTATTAAGAATTTCTTGCCCAGTCTCTCAATATTTTTCCTTTATAGTTCAATTAAAAATTGTTGAAATTGACTCTGGAAATTAGAATAATACAACATATGTTAATTGATGTGGGAAAGTTTTTGGTTTCATGCTTTTGAAAAGGGCTGTAATTAAAACTCATATGAGTGAGGGATTTTTGTATTAATGAAAAGAAATTTCATTGTTTACGCTATTCATATCTCAAGAACTAAATTATTAGGCAATTTAATGAAGTGGAGAGATTTCAATTTGCATCAAGCATTTTTGGCCAGTTAATTTCTTAGTTATTGCCTTTATTTTGAAAATAAATAAACAACGTTTTCATCTGTTCTTTATAAGGAAGGCAGTCTCATGATGGCAGGAAGAAGTTCTTCAGTGCTGTCAAAATCCCAGCTATTCTTCTGATAGGTGATTTACTTCAACGTTGCTACATTTACTTAGTTTTTCGAAAGATTTTATCATTTTGAAGACTTTCGCGAAATATTCTAGTTATATTATGTGTAATGAGTCAGCTTTAGTCCGCTAATGGTAAAATTTGAATGTCAATCGGCATTTGAACGATTCTTGGCAATGCTGTACTTTGCCCAGCTAAGGAAACCTTTCTTCGAAATAAGAAAAGTTTGATAGGCATCATAGGGGCTTGTGCACTTGAGGAGGTTTCATGCGCCAGAGGTGCTTTAGGGAAGGTATCGTGCACTATGAACGATTTAATCCTTCAGAGCAGGTATATGCACTAAAGATGGTTTGGTCACTCAGGTAGGTTTCGTGCACTTGTGGAGGTTTCGTGCACCAGGATAGGTTTAATGCACTAGGGAAAGTTTTATGCTTTGGGGAAGATTCCCTGTTCTTGGGAAGGCTCCATGCCCTATGCAAGGCTTCGTCCAGAAAATAAGGTTTTGTTTGCTAAAGAAGGTTTCATGTACCAGGTACAATAGAAGATTTTGTGATCTCACAACCTTTCGTGCATCAGATTATTGTTAGAGTTGCGACGATTCAATAGTTTGCAGTCAAAAACCAGCAGCATTAATTGGCATGCTGTTTGAAAGGGAGGTATGCTGTGGTACCTCAACAAATATGCCTAGAATAAGTTCTTGCTGGTATTAATGAGTGTTTCTAGTGAGCCGGAAAATATTGTTCTTTTTGTTGAATTATTGAACTCTTTTCAGCAACGTTAGTGGCTGTCAGTGGAATGTGTTTGAGTTTTCTGGACCCAACTCTGCAGAAGCATTTAGTAAGCTCTGTAAGTACGATTGCTACTAACTTTTGCCTATTTGTAAAGTCCCGCAAAGATCCCTCATTTGATGCAAGCATCAAGACTATACAGTCCACCATTAATTCTCCTTTTTTATACTAGCGAATGTGTGTTAAGTTTGTTAGATATCTAAAGGAATGTTGCCATGTTTTACTGTGAGCATGATCTATAGGAATGTTGCCATGTTTCAAATGAGTTTATATTTGCTGTGTATGTAGAATGTGTTTCGATGTCTTTTGTCTGTGTTTTGTTCCTTCTAGTTGGAATTGCAAAAAAAAGCGGTTTTGGCTGCATAGTTTTATTAGGTAGTTTATTAGCAAACTGCCACAGGAATCTTGTTATTGACCGCTTACACAAATGGTTTACCAAATGCTTCATTCAGGTTTTGGTTAAGGCATCGGGGCTTGAAATGCGTATTTTCCGTTGTGATGTTATAAAACTTTATTTCATATGATGTCATTGATCTACTATATTTCAAAATTCCATTATTCTAAATTTTAAATTATAGGCTCTGTATTTAATTGGCAATTTTATTTATTTGTTTAATATAGTTGAAGAACATTAGGTTTCATTATTTAGGCTGCCCTAGTCTTCTGAAAAGATATTGATTTTTAGTTCCAGTTAAGCACCTTACAAGTCGGATTTGTTTTCCTCGTCGGCTCTGGAGTTTACGCAGTCACGGCGCCTGGTCTGGGTATTCTTGCCGATAAAACGGTAATTTTTTGTATCTCTGATTACAGATAATTTAATTTGTTTAAAGAATGCTTTATATTTGTAAAATCAAAATCATCTATGTATACGTTAGTACAATATTTTGTTCATTTATGTGGGATTTTAGTCTAAGGAACATTTCTATTCTTCGTTTTTAGTTTTAGAATAATTCTTGGCCGGTTAGTGGGTCATCAAAGGTTGACAAAAAAGATAGTAAAAAATAAATAGCATTTGTCTTTCAATGCAAGAAGAACAAGCATTTTGTATGGAAAGAAAGATTTAAACCATGTGCCCTCATCTAAAACGACGGATGAACATAATTATATTTTAAATCTAAAACAGATTCGGACGATAAATCTCACAGAAAAAATGTTACCATAAACAATGGTTGTGCGAAATCTGATGACATTTAGGAACTTTTTATCCGAAAGTTTTGAAATCCTGAAAAATAGAAAAATGCAAAAATATGAGGAGATCACCTGTTTCTTTAAAGAATTAGGAAATTACTTGTTCACCAGAAATTGGCCACTGGTGCATTGCTGTGTCTCATTTAGAATATAATTTTTGTTGAAGCAAAATTTTTTTAGGAATTGTTTTTATTGAATCGACATTATTCTCGTTGCTTTGCATGCAAGTGACATTGAAAACTCTTGTTGCTGTTTTGCAGGATACAAGGTATTCTATTTGCAGTGGTGCAGTTATCTGTGGTTTGACGTTCCCATTGCTTGGGCCCCCGCCAGTCATACCAATAATACCTAGGTGAGAGAAACGTCATACTTTTACGTAACAGTAGCTCTGCAAGACGCATGTAGGTGGCTAGGCCAATCACAAATTCAGTGGCGTAGCCACCCATAAAAACGTAACAGCTATAAAACAGGCTTCCCATTCTTTCTTAGGCCTGGTTCAAACGTCGCGCTTCTCATGTGCCGAACCTAATTCGAGAATTAAGTACATGAGGGGCGCGACATTTGAATCAATTTGGTACGGCAGATTGAGTTAGGAGCGGCAGACTAGTTTGGATCGGCAGAGCTTGCCGAGCTGCACGGCTCCAGCACGGCACAGTTTCAAGCGTCGAACTTGTCATGTACCGAACTCAATGCATAATTATATTTAATTTATTTTCCTTCCCAGAATTCATTTCTTTCTTGGAGGGCGCATGCGTTTCAAACAAATATTTGATAGTGAGCGCCTTAGCCAAGATACTTCATGTAACAATCCTAAAACACATTTGGCGCGACATGATTAAGTTCGACGTTTGAAACGGGAGTCGCGCTAAACATGCTCAAGTGTCGCTCCAAACAGAGTTAGGTTCGGCACATGAGAAGTGCGACGTTTGAACCAGGCCTTAGCCAATCAAACAGTAATTGATAAGGCTAAGCCTTCCTGAAAGCATTGATCTTTCTACTTTGAAACCCCTTTGTTTAGGATTCCTTTCTATGAGTTAGGCTCTTTATTATACCATGATTGATTTTTTCGAAATCACGAGATGCAAATAATCAAGAAAATTTAAGGCAATAGTTTTTGCAAGAATTGGAATATTCGAAGTGCCCTTTAGTACTCGTGTATCTCCGCTTCAAAAAAACTGCATAGAATTACAGAATTAATTCTCTGCAGCTGTTTAAGAGCATTTCTACATTTCATTTCATTTTGAGCTTTATACACGGTAGCACTAGTAGCTACGAATAGCTACTTTTCAGGGGGGGGGGGGATTATGAGAAAAGCCTATTACAATTATTACAGTGAAATAAACCTTTTGAATCGCAAAGTTTGAAGATAGCAAGGAAATGATAGATAACATGGACTCTGAGGAGTGTCGGACAGAAAGTACTTCTGAATCATAGGTATCCGCTTTGGTCCACAAATTGAAAAATCTTTTGGAGAATTTGCGCTAGACGACTTATTGATTTGAAGACAAGTATGGACTTAGGATGTTGGATAAATGAAAAGATAAATGGTCATCAGTAGTATAAGCATACATATTCGAATATTGATACAGTATATATGTTGATTTGTGCTAGAGGATATAGGCAGCGGCGGTCTGGTGTCCTAACTGCAGTGTGGCTCTGAAGCCGTAAGGGCCCGGATGAGGGTGAGGTTGAGTGACCAAACCCACTGAAGAAACAGCCACTTAAGTTGTCTGTCGAATGATTTGCTGGTAGTATTTGTAATCAGTTTTAGGAGGTACTACGAATAATTAACTGATATGATTAAGTGACAAAACATTTTGCAGAGATAACTTGGGGGAATTTCGTGAAAAAAAGAACTGTAAACTGCATAATACTATAAGACAAACAGTCTTTCTGTATTATCAACGTGTATTTAATTTATCACGCAAGCGTCGAAAACTGTAAACCATGTGGATTCAGAAGGCATTTGTTATTTGGAAGATGCACAAAAAGCCGAGGAGCGACCAAATCAGATACTTCATGCTGTATAACACAAATACAGGAAGTAAATAAAACGATGAGATGCAAGGCAGGGGTAAGATAGGGATATATTTTAGGCCCATGATTGTTGAATCGTCTAAAGAACGGGATTTAACTGCTTATTACGTAGCTTAAAGACGGTACTGATATTCATCTCATTTTGTTATGATATTTTGTTATGTTCGGTGGCTCGTTGTGCGATATGCAGTGACCCTCGATCTCACTAAATTTATTATTGATATTGATATCAAAATAACCATTAACATTTGTTATTATTTAAGTGATTTTTCTATTTGTTGCGGAACTTCAGTAGATATTTTAGGTGAAAGAGAGAATAAAATTTATTAGAAATTATAAACATCCTTCTTCTTAAAGTGGAAAAGCCCCGTCATCATTTACTTCTAAGGCAAAGGGCTCGGGTGGCGATCGCCACTTTGCCACCCGGGTTAAACCGTGCCAGGAGATAGGCCATGATATATTGGTACGAATGGTTAGGTCCTGTTCAGAAACTAAGAGCATTGAGAAATTACTTGGGAATTGACGTATTTTTTATTGCAGTGCTTTGTGGTTGAATTGCGTGGCGCTGGCTTTGGCCGGCTTTGGATTGGCGCTTCTTCTGGTTCCTGCTCTAGCCGATATGAATGCTTCTGCAAAGCAAGTATTCGTCGACTTTATCTTTCAGTCACTATGCTTAGCAAAGATAATCATGTCTACATTACGATTAAAGAGCTTTAAGACAATCATTAAAGCACATGTTGACGAATGTTGTTTATGCTGTTGTTGCTGTTTTTGTTGTAGCTGTTGTTATAATATTATTCTAATTCAATTTAACACAACAGAATATATACAAGTGTGTTTATATAAAAATACAAAAAAATTAAAGCTCTGGTTTGCTTCTTTGCAGTTTTCCTTCCCCCCAAATCATAACTTTTTCCTAATGCATGGCTTAGCTAATGCCGTTCTGCAGAAAAGCTGAATTCTGTTTGAAAACAGAAACAAAGGTTGAATATAACTTTGAATGAAATTTATGGATCGATCTTATTTTTCAGTCGACATGGATTGGAGTCAGATCTGTCTACACAAAGTGTATTGGCATCCATCTTTAATTCAATGTTAAACATAGGGTAATCATTCTATTGAGTTTGTAGAAATTTCCTTCTTCGTGTGTCCTCTTTAAGTTTTACTTTTTCATATTACTGCTTCTAAATAGAACTTTTTAACTAGATTTTACCTTATTTATGATATTTTCTGGGCAGTCTTTGTACATCTAATTATCATCTATTGGACCTATAAACAATATTTTGAAGAAGGCCGCAGTGTCAGGATTGAAAATTGAAAACGGATGAAAACACAAATTGCCAGCTTTTTTCATCCACGTGCCTCAGAGTGTGATAGTCTTCTAATGTGTAGAAAGTTTGTTAATAGATGCGAGTCGACGTATACCTATGAGTGACTCTTGTACGTAGCAAAAACATTTTGAATTTTGTGTTCTCTTTAAAATCGGTTTTGGTCTTTGCTTATCATGACGCTTTTCAAGCTCAACTCTATTTTTGTCGTCATCAAATCGTCATGGTACAGACTATATATAATCTGACTAGTGATTTTAGTCAAAAATGATTGGCAGAAAATTGTGTTGCCTTGACATTTCCTTTGCCATAGGTTTGCTCAATTCAATTTTATTCTTTTTGAGTCATTCAATTTAATAGTAAACATTGCTACCTAGTTTTTCCTAAGAGTATCAATTTCTGTCAAATTTTATCACTAACGATGATCATTTATTCATTTTGTCCTCAAAAATTTCGTTATTAGTTCTAAAATTTTCTTCGTTACAAGTTACTTTCTCCTTCAGCGCCATTGCAGGAGCGTCACTGGGAGGAGTGCTTGCGGAATACCTTAGTTTCGCCTGGGCCACATCGGTAAAATATTTCAGCAAATAAACGTTTTCCTAAGAAAATTACAGAATAAAATACAATCAAATCAAAAATGCACTCAAAAGCCAAACTAAGTGTGAGGTACATTGTGTTATTTATAACGTGAATGGAAGTTCGAATGCTAATCAAGAGTAGCACTTACAGCAGATATTTATACATTGTACAGCTTATTAAGAAAACACTACTAACCAAAGTAGTTCGAAGTGCGAAAAAACGGTCGCTGAGATTAATTTACATTATAAGGTAACTTTGCTTTACTCTTCGACAAAAATCCATTGCCAAACTCAAGACCACACCCAAAAGCCAATAATCCTACTGGAACCAATCGACCATCGAACTCCAACAAACATCACGACCATCCACACCCCGGCAATCAAATGGCTCGTCAACCCCCCCCCCCCCCCAGTGAAGGTCAATTCTTAATTTTCGCACAGGCCCCAGGTGAACCCCACATCCCATTGAAAGGAGTGTTATTTGTGCGGAGTCATAACCACTGAACGCGTAACTACCTTACAAAGTACTTTAGACGCGTCGTTTTCACATTTGTTGCTTAAAGCGTTTGGGTTATATCAAAGCTGGAAAAATTTCACATCTAGTCCTTCCGCTTTTTATGGTAATGTTTTATCCCCCCGAGTTTGGTAATCCTGTTTCCTTTAAAAACCTAGCTATTGTCAAAAACAACTTTGACCTCTCTTGACTCCCATCAACACCGTTCCCTCCCTAACATTACATTTTACGGAATGAAAATCACTCGCTATGTTGATGTATTTCATTAATCTTTGTCTTAATGCAACAAAATGATTTTTCAGTCTCATTTTTCTTTCAGATATTTGGACTTTCTTTGTGTTTAGTGGTATGTTTCCTTTCGAAATTTTCTCAGCCAATCTTATTGGCTTTAGATGATAACATGGCAAGGCTGTCTAACTACAAGAGAAACTTGATTTTGTCCATTGTTGCTCAATGATCAATTTAGCGTTACAGCTTTATCCATACAACGTAAAGTTATAAAATTTTATTGTGTTATTTCTCATTTGTTGATATAAAGATCAAAATGCATTGCATATTAATGAATTGATTTTTTCACTTTAAAGGGTTTACTAGCTTTTGGGTTTACCGTTTGCGAAAGACGAAGCTCCAAGTATACAAGGTTTGTAAAATCATCATGCTGAACATCATGCTGAACATGACATGACATGACATGAACATGATATGAACATGATATGAACATGATATGAACATGACATGACATGACATGACATGACATGACATGACATGACATGACATGACATGACATGACATGACATGACATGACATGACATGACATGACATGACATGACATGACATGACATGACATGGCATGACATGACATGACATGACATGACATGACATGACATAACTTTCATCTCTGGTGGTTTGTTTTTTTAAAACAGTTCTGTGAGAACTTCGTCTAAGTTATGCTTTGCTGATCACTGATGAAATAGACCAAAACATGTCGTTTTTTATTTAGACACAATGAATTTTGTATCTAATGTATGTAGCTCAAGTTTAATTCTAAGCATCCCTTTTTAGCACCGTTAATGAAAACGGCGTTCGTTGTTAGTAAATCAAATATTTTCTCAATTTTGAATATCATTTTGATTTTATGTAATGCTGTTTGGTACATGTGAATACAAGAAGTCTCGACAGTAATCAGTTTAATTGTTAAACTGCTTAACAAACACTGACCATTTCATAGTTTGCTGTAGAAAGCCTGTAGTTTTTCACTGAAGTTAAGCATCGATTTTTGTTGCTTCATAGATACATAACCACATAAGCCCAAGAAAGAAATGAGCAATGCATCTTTAGAAAAGAAAGCCATGTTCCCGTTTCGTTGCAGAATGCCTGAATATTTTATTGCAACTACAGAAGATGATAATTAGGCCTAAATAGTAACAAACTGAAATTGAATTATATTTATAAAGCAATATTCGTGTGAGAAATTAACCAATTTACAAATAATTATTAATGCGACCGTGTTCAGAAATGAATACTCAATTAAGGTGAATGTTCATGTGCCCATCGAAAATAAAACCAATCGTTAAGTCGATACACCTTACGAAACTTACTTTCTATACAGAAAACCCCTTGCCTTAAACGACTAATCGCCTTTCCGCTTAAGCAGCTTATTTATATTTCTAGCCTCAATTATTTGGCCATAGAAAATCTTGCATGCAATGCAATGCAATGCATACCTTGCATGCAATGTTAAGTTTTAGAATGCCGAGCAATTACAGTTATCAAGCAACGCTCATGTCCCTTCAATCTGAGGTACATACGCCTTGAACACAAGCGAGCTGGCGAGCCACTTAACAAACTGGTATTAGTTTATTGACAGTAGGGGCGCTTAATGTATCTTTGCTTTCTCAAGGTTGGTGTCTGATTGATTCGCACTGATTGTGAGTATGAGCACATGGATGTTTTAGCATGCTCTAGGTTTAACCTCCGCTTTTAGTGCGATTTTTATATGACTCTCTGAGGACGTACGCCGATTTGGTGATTACGATTTGCTTTCGCTGAAGTAGCGCGAACAGGGTATCCTAGGCGGAAACCGGCCTTTAGATCGACGTTACAGGTTTATCGAAGGCTTGATGCATACTTTTCAGATGGGCATATCTCTAATGTAACCCCGTTTGTTTTGTTTTTCGAATGGTTCTGAATAATTGCTTTACTTAGAATAATATTTGATATTACGATTGAAGCTGTGTGCGATACCAATATATGCGATATTTAAGAAATCATATTTCGATTAAGTTGAGACAGGCTTTTTTGCTTTCTTTTATTAAGCCAATTATCAGTAGCTTATTTCTGTCTATGCCATTATATTTTAGCTAATATGATATGCATTCTAAACGTTAATGCAAAATTATAGATACGGATTTTTCGCAGCAAGCATAGTTGCTCCTGTGATTGCTTTGTCTTTGAACTACAAATCTAGGGAATAACCCAGTATGACAATCTGCATAGCAGAGGGGGTCTCTTTTTACCCTCCCTAGTCGGAAAATATCAGTAACAGCAATAACAGAAATACTTTTGCTTGCTCAAAGAAACTGCTACTGACTCCTGTTTAACTAAAAAATCACCAACATAGTTTTCAGATTAATTGGTAATATGACACTTGTTTTCTTAAATCTGTCCCTGTCGTGCGATATTTCTTGTTGAGCTGTGATCGAGTCGTGGCATTGATTCGTAAAGTTAACTTTGGCGGCATCCCCCTCACTGCCTTTCATATGGGAGTATCCCCCAGATTACAAAGCTGAACGTGATACATCATAGAACTGATTTAACCTTCCAGCGGCTATTGCAATTAATAACAATAAATGTTACGGACCGTTCGAAAGTGTCCGAAGTAAAACATCGTCTGCCTATCACGGATAGAGACGTTATTTATATACATGTATTAAGCAGAGTGATAATATTTACCAAATAATAAAGCTAAACCCATATGCTATAATTTGCTGAATTTTTGTTTGACATGATTGTGTTTTCTACAATGCCAGGGTAATGGAGGGTTTAGGGGCATTTGCAATGCAACTCCCTCCCCCTACTCGATATTTCTCGGAGATTACCAACTCATAAAGGTATTGGGGTGTTATTTGTACCAGGAAATTGAGAAAATGGCTGCCGATGCAAGTGATGCACTTCGCTTGACACACTTCCTCTCAAACCCAATCCCCACCAAGACCGATCTTCACTTCTAAAGGGGCAAGTGGATATTTACTTACTTTTACTGGATTTGTAATCATTGCAACCGACTATGTGCCGGTGTTAGATAGTCTTTGATATTTTGACCCTAACTAGTCACTTCAGTGTTAAAGGCATTGAGTCATGGTAAATAGGCCTTCTCTATAGGGGGTCATTTGGTTTCGGCGTGATCGCTGCTGTTTCATGTGATATTGGCATCCGTTGTTGACAACTTGCTATTGATGGAAACTGCTTTGTCAATCAGTACGAGGTGAGTTCATGTGACCAGTTCAAGGTCAACCAATAGCATCGCAGTCATGAAAATCATGACTCAGCGGATTTTGGCACTTAGGGTATACCCTATCCATTTTATCATGACTCAATGCCTTTAATAAAGTGCAGTCTAAGTAATGTTTTCGCAAATCACGAGCGGCATATCTTTAGGCGACATTCTCGATTAGAGATTTTCTTGAGTTCCAATGCCGCGTAGAAGTATTTGCATCCGATGTTCGGCTGCCTAGCCACAAAAAACTCAGCTTGCTGCTGCTTCGCGTTGGATTTCGTCTTGTTAAATTCTGATTTGATTTGCAGAAAAATATCTTACTGTAGGCCCTTCGAAAACTTGGATTCACCGCCCCGTAAATCCACGGGTTGATAACAGAATTGGTATAAGTTAGAAAGTAGAAGACGGTGTAGAGTATATGATTCAAATGTGCCCCATTGAATGCCATCCATATCCACGTGATCTGATTTGGCAGCATGCAAATTGCGAACACGACAACAACACAGGTGAACATTCGAAGTGTGCGCCGTGTTTGCTTCATTCGCTTGATCGATGCGACACTCATACTCTCATTACTATTTTGCGACACTACCTGGGTAAGACGTTTTTTCTGACTGAATCTGGTCGCTTTGACTTCCTGTTGGTTCGTAGATTTCTGCCAGGCTGCAGGCATCGACTCTCTCCTTCTCTGCGATTGGGTTGCTGCTGTTGAAATTGCTGGTGAACTTGCGCTCTGCTTCATTTTGCTCGCATTAGACGATTCCACGTATTGTGAAACGGCTGTTGTTGACGTCATACCAGGTTCTTGCCCAGGCATTCGCCCACAGCTTAGCTCTTGGTGGACCCCAACGGTCTGTTTCTTCGCTTCTTCGTTTGTCATACCAGATGCCTGTCTCGTTGAGGTTGCGACACCCGCTGCTGCCTCAGCTGCTTGCTTGCATCCTTCCATCGATGTAGCCTTTCTCTTCAGCCGAAAAGCAGGTTTTGTAACACCTTGGCCAGTTGAATAATTGGTTTCCCCTCCGCTATCCAATTCTTCTTTATCACCTAGTAGTGTAGGCCGTCTTTGTTGTCCCTCACATTCAGCTTGAGGACTGATACTTTTGAGGTTATTTTCTGTGCTAGACGAAGCATCTTGCCCGAGCATTTTCGTATTTTCACTGCTACCTTGTGAACCATCATCCTTTGTTTTCCTCCTGTTGTTCCTCTTGCTTAATGGTTTACATAACTTTAAAATTTTTGACTTCTTATCGCGCTTTCTCTTCAGATGATTCATGATCGGACTAGCTCTGCTTCCGGCCGGGGAAACAGCAAACCGCTTGACTCCGCTACTGTCTTCCGTGCTTACAAGCTGCCTTGTCTCAACAGTCGTGCGGGCGTATTGACTTGCACCTCTTTGAACCGGCTTCTTACTTTTATAGATAAATTTACCGGACCAGTAAGGAGAAGATTGATTGCGCTTTTTAAATTTCTTCTGCTCTTCTCGATTTACACTATTTTGATTCGCAACATCCGTCGAACTGATGATGGGTGTCTCCTCCCTAGTGGCTGTTTCATCGTCATCTTGGGCATTATCAGTAGGCTCGTAGTTGCTCCCCTCCTCCACAGCTTCAAGGTAGTTTGACTTGAAGGAGTAACTACTTGTTGATTTTATGACCACTTTTTCGGTTCCTGAACAGAATGGATTCAAAAGTGGATTTTCAAAAGTCAAAAAGTGGGTTTTGAGCTTAAAGTGAACCGCCAATTGATTTTAGTTAAAAGGTTTTTTAATAACAGTTATAATGCGCTTTTGTGTGGATGGAGAACATAACATCTCCAAACTATAATGCAAATTGAAGATGTTAAGGCCCAATTAACACGGGACCAATTGCCTACCGTTCTATCACTCGCTCTGTCCAAATAAGTTGTGTTCACATGCTTTAAATCGTACCGTTCCGTTCCAAAAATTGGAATGTTCGCAAAAGTGATACGAATAGTGGAACGGTATAAAATCGTTTTTTTCCGTTCCAGAATGAACAGGTAAACTGGTCCGAAAAAGAGAACGATTACTAATTTGCCTAAAGGCTTGCATTTCCACATTAAAATACGGACATGCACATTGGCGAAATCTTTGCTCAACTTCTAGTACAAAAACGGAACAGAGCGATTGTGTTCCTGTGTGAACAGAAGAAAGAATTGGTTTGTAATCGTTCCGTTCCCAAGTGAACATTTAATTTTTAGTTCCCAAATTCGAAACGATTTTGGAACGTTACGCAATCGTCTCCGTGTGACGTGGCCTAAAGCACGTGGTCTGAGGTAGCAATGCATCATTCACACGAGCCATCACACTTGAGCCATGGACAGTTGATTTTTGCGCAATTGAGCAATGGAAATAGTTGCTCACAGGGAAGTATAATCTTCAGATCCCGAAGCATAATCTGGAGTATGTCAATAAGGATTTTTCTATTCAGCCATTCAGGACTGGAATAAAATCATCATAGCTATCAGGTAGCTTCCAATATGCCAATTCAAAAAACGATTAAAAACACATTTGATGAGCTGCAAGCCAATTAAAGCAACTGTGACCTAGCTTTTGATATTTTATATCTTATTTACAAGCTGTATGTAAACTATCAATTAATAGAACTTATATCCTAATTATTAGCAGTTAATTAGAACTAGCTTAAGGGGTAGTCCTGTAGAAATAATTTAAAATTAAAAATTAAAAGTTAGCATAAATTTTGGATCAAGTCATTTTATTTGATGATGATAATGAAATTCTTGTTTGGTGCAACCTGAAATTTCTATACAAACCCAATTTTTTATATTACACACTTACAGAGTGGAACTTCTATTTGCACCTTAAGAGACATTACCTTTGGACGTGTTCCCCATTGGCAACGAGTTTGAGTCATGTCGCCTCATGGCAGCGTCCCAGCTTTGAGATCGGCTGAAATGGCACTTTCCTCTTTGTTGTACTTCCTGCATCTCTATGATCACTTTGTTTTTCTTGCGAATTTCATTCCACGACACGCTGTATAGGATCGCTATTAGTGTTAATGGCAACGCATATTGAATACAGAACAAAGCCAGCGTGTAGATTCGACTGCCGCCTTCTGGCCATACCTCAATGCATACGTGTTTATCTACATTCTTAATGTACCTTGAAAGAAAGAAAAATATTTATAGCTAAAACCTTTTGCACTCGCATAACCTGTTGGTGTCTAGTTGTATCATTAAACATGTGTCATTTCTTTGAAAAGCTTTGAATCAATTGGTCATTTTATACGATTTCTTCAGTTGAAAATAAATTGCTTTTTTTTCGTATCTTTTCATTGACAGGAATCTGTCTTTATCTGTTTTGTCTAATAATACATTCACTTGTGTAATATTTTTATTTTAATATCCCAGCTATCACCTAGGATCTAATCTTAGAAATATATTAACTGGACTCAGGTTACTAAAGAAAAGGCAATGGACAGGAATGCTTCTCGTTTTCCCTGAACACTTTTAAACAATGAGATAAGTTTACTTTAAAATAGGTGCTTGCCATTTCATCTTTTAATCATAGATATTTGTTTGAGATATTCATTTAGATCATAGCATTTTACATGCTTAATTCCTTTTGCTGATATAAGACATCACCTTGCCATAAATCCAGATCCCATTTGCCGACAAAGTGGGTGAGCCAGCCTTTATTTACCGACAAAGCACCCTTAGATGGTACAAAATTCTTTGTTTTTGAAACGGATTTTTTTGCATACCCTTCACGCCACATATATTTGATCAATAGTTTTATGAAAGTATGTTGATATTGAATGAAAATACTTTGAAATATGTTACATAATTGATATTGATATTGAATGAAAATAAGTTTCGTAAATTTTTATTGTGAAGGCCCCTTTGAAAATCAACATTGCAGAGGAGCTACCCTCCTTAAACAGATGAAATAAATAAAATTACTGAAAAGATACTTCAACAGCATTTCTAGATAACAATTCGGGGCAGTCTTTGACAAAGCTATTTTATTTATGTTCTTGATGTATTCACTTTGGCTATGTCAAGAGACGGTACCTACCTTTGGTGAATTGAGAATGGGACGACGGAAACAATCGACAAGCCGTGCAGAAGACAGAGGACAAATGACTTCTTTTTACAGGATTGCAAGCGAGCTCTCATTGGGAACATGATTGCATAAAAGCGGTCGATAGCAATTGCAAGCAGTGTAAACGCAGCCGAATTGAATGCAGCCGTTGCCGCTGGCATCAATATCTTGCAACCAGCTTTCCCAAAGGGGTAAGAATATGATTCCTCGACGCCAATTGTGAATGGTATCCCCAGAAGCACAGTCGCAACGTCGCATAGCGCCAAGTTCAGCACAAAAAGGTTGGCTGTTGTTCGAAGATGCTCGAAGCGAAGGAGTATTGTTATCAATACAGCGTTACTGGTCACGCTCGCAAAACAAATTAGAACGTAGAATGTAATCTTGACAATGTGGAAGGTCATCCTTGATCTTTGGGTAAGTACCAACGGACCTTATTTTGTATCCCCGAAGCAAATCTTGCAGTAATGATAATCTGAAAGAAATGTAACCGAAAATTTGAGATATAACCTCTAAGTATAACTAAGCAAACGCTTATATAACACAAGCGTATTCTTGATTCCAAAGATTCAAGTTATGTGAGGTTATCGGAAATTTATTCTGTAAAAAAATTATAAAACTGCTGCTGCTTGTTAAAACTTAGAAAGGTCACCACTCCTGGGCATTTTGTTGTTGTCAATATCAAGCTTCTGTCAGTGTGAAGAAGATGTGCTTGCTACGTTCCTTTGATAATTCACTTTTAGTCATTAATTTGAACAGCTGCCTCAGCAGTCAGACTTGTCCAAAATTTCGCTAGTTTTTGAAACTTAGGCAAGTAAATCCATTTGTGTTTTGAAAGTTTTCCTCCTCTCTTGTTTAAACTCTAGTGAATTCTGAACAATTCACTGCACAAGACAATATCAGATCTGGAGAACGTGAATTATGCTTACGTTTATACGCGAAAACACTATGCACGACTTTCGATTCACATGGGTTTTCTTTGTTCTACAAGTCGGAATTTCTCCAGATCCTCCCGTTCTGCTATATTTAAAAGAACACTTTTAAGCTGACAACAGTTTATTCATGTCAATTTACAGATCCTCGATGGAAACTACCACATTTGAAATCGACGATTGAACTCTATGTGTTCCGTGTAAGTTCTTATTCCGTCGTTCCTTAGAAATGATCTAAAAATATTACCTGTACAATATATTTTTCTTCTTTCAATTCACACTTTCCTTTGATATGGCCATGAACTTTCCGGTAGTACGAATTCACAGTCAAACTTAACTATTCTACTCTACGTAGGTTATTCTCCTAGGTCTTCATTCCAGTACATTGAGATAATATCAGTCAACATCTGCCCTCCGCTATAATCTACCACTCCTTTCTAAAAGGCCTGATTTTTGCTGCAAACGTTTTCTTCTTGTGTTTAGTTGCACGCTATCTTATCACAAAATCTATTCCTGAACAAAAATCTGAAAAATCGTCATACTTTCTGTAGAAATGTTATCTCTTGGTTTAGAAAACAATCATATCACAGTTTTAAATACATGTATGTCATTTCTTAACGATTTCTCTATCACATTATCAAGCCAATGTCTTTTAAACCTATATAGAAAATATGCAATTCGTGCTGCCTCTAGCCACAGTCAAGCGTTTATTTATAAGTTAATTTCTTACTCGGGGAAGAAAACATCAACAAAGGAATTCCTTGAATCGAAATTTAACAGCTACCTAAGAAGACATATCATCAGGTGTTGTCAAATCAGGTGTTGAAGCTCAGGTATCCAAAATCTTCTCATACACAGGGATAGACCTACACTTAAATCCCAGCAGTCATCTACTCCAATTATTCTGTTCCGACTCTCTTTCTCTTCCTTTAATCCTTTGTTCTCCATTTGCCCCTGGTCTTCTCAGTCTCATTTCACTTCCTGATTGTTTTTTTCGCGTACTGGTAGGTCACATGATTTACTATTCTTGATGTATTATCCTTTCCTATTCATAGTATAAGTTGTTTTTTAAAGATTCATTGCTAACAATGAGCCATTGCGCTACGCAAGCATCCCATAATGCATTTTTAGACTGTCTGAAATCAATTTTGGTTAATCCGTAGAAGTTTACTGCCATTGTTTGGACCGTCGCCAAGCTCGCAAAGGCCTATTGTTAGCAATGAGCCTTTAAGTACATTACTGAAAATAACACTGGCTAGAGTCGAAAAGTTTAAATAAAAGATTATGTCTTCTTGACTATGTCTACCTGATTATGTCATGCAGATTTTGTCGAACTTTGTTTCACCTTTTTTGTCAATTATGGATATGACGTCGTAGTTTAAATTCAGAAAATGTCTCTTTTTGTTGCCGTGCTTATTATGAACCATTTATAAGTTGCACCGTATTAGACCTTTTTATTTTCCACCCAAGATATCGACTCAGTTGTAGATCTAAAAGACCCAACTTATGGATGATTCATTTTTGTCAGGAAGAAAAGTTTCTTAAAGAGCGACCTCATATTTTTATGTTGATCGTCTTTCCAATCTTTTGACGTCTCCAAGCAAACAAAGCCTCTTTTCAACAGTTCATAGCCAGCCTCCCACTAATTATAAAACCGTTTCGTTTTGACTACTTTTCAATTGTCATCGATCTTCATAACGATTTGAGAGGGAAAATTTCTCAAACTTAAACACATACTGTTAAAAAGATTTCAAAATAAACGTTTTGTACTGCACAATTCAATGACAGAATTCAAAGCAGAATTATGCTTTACACATTTCAAAATAGTCAATTTACAAACAATAAAAATTAGTCCTGATAATTTCTTAATCCATTTTTCAAAAGAAGGTGGCAAGGCAATATTATTTTCTGTTTTTCCATATTCTCGAGGTCAAGAATGCTTCGATGTTAAGAATACTGCCTCCATAATTTTGCCTCGATGTTGATAACAGCAGCACTGTCCATCTTTCCAGTGATTCAACTGTTTCTATTACTCCTGTGTAAAGTTCCGATGTCCAATAAGAATCTCCATATTAAGTATTCAGGTTTTGTTTTCAGTGGTGCCACGCCGTTCTGACCTTTGAGCATGAAAACACACTGTTCCGAGAATCATAAGAAGAACTATAACGTCTCTTTGAAAGCCAAAACAGAAAGGAGAATGTAGACAATTTCTAAGATAAGTGTAAAGGTATTACTTAACGATAACGCAAGATAAAGGTCGAGAATAGGGATAAAAATTGACGAAGAACGACCCCTAAAAAGTACTTGTATTTGTGTTGTATGTATGAAACCATGAAAACTATCCACCGCATCGAGCCAACTGATAGAAAATTGTTTATTCGGTTAGTCCTGTCAGATTCTGATTGTGAAAAATGAAAAGTGAAAAGATTCCTGTCAACTTAAAAAGAAAGATCACAGGGAAATGCATTCCTCTAAGCAATGGTTTTTACAAAAACATTAGAATCTTGCATTATCATAGAGAAGCATAAAGGAAGCAATGCTCTACCTCGTCAGAGAAGATATGATAAAAAACGAAGTGATCAAAGAGAAAAATTGGGAGGCTCCACGGTACAAAAAGCAAGAAAAATGGCAAAAAGTGTACAACAAACTTTGTTTGGATGAAGAACAACAGGCGGACAACAAAGACTACATCATGGACCTCAAGAAAATGGAAGGGGATAAAAAAGGAGACTTGTGGAACGGCAAAGAGACAGGTAGAAAATGGAACGGAATAAAATGGAGACTTGGAGGAAGGTAAAGAGACAGCCAGAAAAGGGAAAAGAATGAAGAGGAGACTTGAGAAACGGCGAAGAAGCAACCATGAAAGGGTGAGAAAGAAGAGGGAGGGGCGTCAAAAAAAGAACTAAAGGGAAACGAATGGACTAGAGACTTGAGAGATGGCCAGGTGACAATTTGGTAGGAAGGAGCGGAAAACTTTGATGAAAGTGGCATCAGTCGAAAAACCTGGAGTGTGGAGACAATCCAAGAGCAACAGCACGATGAATTGAGGGAGCTGACGATGATGATTTTGTGGTAAAACTGTTCATTTGGTCGTCATCTTCCGTTTCCAGGCTCTGGCAAATGGTCTTGAAAACCCAGTTTGTGTGGCGTGATCGCAGGATTTATTTTGCTGCTGGTGATTTTCTTCCACTTTGTGCAGTAATGAAACTTTGATAGTTTTCACTTTTATGCTAGTTGCAGTGGCGTAGATAGAGGGGGGTCAGAAGGAGCAAAAATTTCAACTTGTAAAACTATAATGCTGTCTTATCGGAAAACCTCTGATCTTGACGGAATTATGCCATGGTTGTCTATCTTTAATCCAAGTGTTACATGAGGGTAGATACTTTAAAGCTGGACATAACGATATATTCAGGTTAACTTAATCATATGGGCAATCTCTTTAATAAGGTATGGTAATTAAACATTTTTTAGAGGAGAAGACCATAAAACCTTCAAGCAGTATGGCTTCCAACACTTGACTTCAAATGAATGATAAAAAGTTTATCTTTTGTTGTTTTTTGTTCTAATGTTGTTATGTTAAGTTCAAATTTATGAAAAATAAAATAACTTATAGATTTTTGGCGGATAATCTAAATTTAACGCCCCTCCTATAAATTTTCCTATTTACACCACTGGCTAAATGTGTAGGCTTTCTTTGCATTTGATTTGAAGAAACAGTGTTTATTTTGTGCCGAATGATTTTGCATCTGCTTTCTGCTGCCTAGCTTGCTCTGTAATCTTTAATTGACCCTTGGGAAGGAGATGAGTGTTCCAAACCATAGTGTGTCTTTTTTAGGTTTACTTGCGCATCTTGATAGGCAACACATGCTGTGCGAAATTAAACACAATACTTTTGCTATACTTGAAGTATGTGACAAGACAAACGTATCAGGTCGACAGTGGCACTCCATCACGATCCGTGCTTGACGTTTTCTTGATAGTGCCATGGGGAAATCTTAGCATATACCTTAGGTCACTTTTCTTAGGTCGTTAATATGTCTAATATATATTGTATTGCAATTTGCTTAGTGAGAATCATAGATTATGAATTGAACAGAAACATCTGTGGGTTGTAAATTGTTGCTACAAAATGTGAGAAAGCATACCTGCGTTGCAAAACGGGAAGTGACAAACGAATACTCCTTGAGTCAAAATTACAAGATCCATGTTGATTGACTGGGCACTTTCCTGGAGAACATCGTTGTGGCACTTCGGGGAGGGGGAGGGGGAGTGGCTTAGTTGTTGTTTCTTTTCCCATTTATTATGTAAACATATGTTTCTTTCTTGCGTATCAAACTGACCATAGTGACTGAAGAATAAACAGGCTTGATTGAAGCTGCGGTATTGGTACCATTGCTGGTTTCAACTTTGTGAACCACACAGCGATTTTTCCCTAGATTGTTTGACGAGCAGATGTTTCAACAGGATTTGCTCTTCGTATACATTGGTCAAATTTAATGCTTTTCCAAAAAGGGATTGATATGAGGTTGAAAAGCTATCTTACCCGTGTTAAAGAAAAACGATATCAATTCTCTCAATTTCATTGTAAAGACAAAATCAGATAAACTAGCTCGATCGTTTCTCGTTTTTGGTTTCAAATAAAGTTAATGTCAATGAAATATCTAGCTTAGAAAGATTAGGTGACTTTTAAAAAGTTACTTTGTTTCTGTTGCCGTTGTTGAAATCCTTTTAAACTGTTGGCTTAACTTTAGATTTGCGCTCAGCTCTAATGTGGGCAGACTGGAAACATTCCATAAGCATTATTTTGTCATCATAACTAACATGTCATCTTTTTTCAAATATCATTTGAACGTTCCCTTCCTTGATTAAATAGAAGATCTTCATTGTGTTTTAATGCAGCGCATTGACTTCAGGTAATACAACCACTGCTTGTAAATGAAAATCTAATGTTCCGTTGCTTTTATTACTTATTAGCAGATAATGTTTTGACAAACAAGCATTCAAATGAGCAAGAGAAAACGAAGATTGCAAGAATAGCATTCGTTTATACATCAAAACTTACCCGGGACTGTTATCGATGAAGGACGATTTAATGTAGAGGCTACAGGCCATCAACACCAAAGCCAAATGTTGCTTCTTCAATCTTCATCAGCTGTGGCTTTTTTCGTGGCATAACCGTCTGCTGTTTTGCTAATTTGTATTAACCCTCGCTCAGGAGACACAAGATATGCAGAATCCTTTGCAGTTATCAGGCAGGTGTTCTTCAGTTGGTCACATGACCAAGTACTGTGCAGTTATCTCTTTTCCTAGTGCTTCTTCTCCGAGTAAAAATCTTATTTTCAATAGAATCCAATGTGCTATTCAAGTCCACATTTTAATTAACCAAAATCTAACAACCATGACCTGAACTTGGCGTGCCAAGTTTCCTTTCATGTGTCTTTTGCTAGGACCGTAGGTCCTAAAAAGGAATTGCGCAATTATTTTCAAGATACGACAATTATTTCAACAAGTGTCTTGTGTGGGGGGGCTTTCATTATCTTGTTGGTATCAGATAACCTTTCCAATATTGGCTCATCGTTATTATTTTAGGAATTGATAACGGTCTTACAACAATTTTCGATTCTAATGTCACAGAATAATTAGACTACTATCTGATGCCTAATTTTGTTTGATAGCTTTGGATCTTCTCTTATTTCCGAAAAATGGCGCAAGATATCTTTGCCTTACGAAAAGTGATTGCCATGTTAAATAACAAAATCGAAATTATTCAATGTGGGTGGGGTGGCTATTTGATGTTTGCGGTGATAAAAGTGGGCATTCAATAGCTCGAGCAAGAGCATTTTATTCCGCGCTGATTTCTTTTAAAATCGTTTGTTTTTCCAATGAAGACGTATTGTGTTTTGAACTTGCAGTACAAAGTATTATTGGAACGACTGTTGATTTTGATACGTTCCTATATTAATTCTATTGCAAGTTCTTTTCTTGACATGCCGTCGTTTTTTATGATTCGATTCAAGGCGCAGAAAACACGGAGCCAGCAAGAGACAATATTGTGTGACTGTTGGGTTTTAATGAATCTACTGACTGCAATACACATAGAAGGAGGGGACGCTACAAATGTGCTGTTGATTAAGTGATTAAGTTAATGCGGATAAAGAGACAAAGATAGTGTTAATGATTATGATACAATCGATGAATTGATTACATTCGACAATGGTTACTACAGTATCGAAATAAAAAGGCGGAAGACTTGAGTTTTCGAGCTGGGCCTCTTAGCTGATAGCTGGTCAACAATATTAACTGGATAGCAATACTTAACGGTTAGCAGTAGCATAGCAGTAACAATAATAACTGGTTCACATTAACAACCTGTTCACTGTAACAACCGGCTAGCTGTAGGCTGGTTAACTGTTACAACTGGCTAACAGTGATTACCGGCAAGCAGTAAATCCGGATAACAGTAATATCTGGTTAGCAGTGATATCTGGTTACCAATAATAGCTGGTTGACTGTAACAACCTTCATACTGTAATAGTTGGCTAGCTGTAATATCCGGTTACCAATAATAGCTGGTTAACTGTAATATCCGGTTAACAATGATAGCTGGTTGAGTGTAACAACCTTTATACTGTAATGGCTGGTTCACTGCAACAACCAGCTAACAGTGAACAAGCAAACAAGCAAGCATGCTGTTTTTTAGCCTGACACGAAGCGTTAAAGCTTGTGCTATCATTTAATAGGCAATCGAATAAACCCATATAACCTGAACTAAGCATCATCCAGAAAATAAACTAGAGAATAAAGAAAAAGGACGTTATCATGCATTAGAAAGAAAAAATGTCTGTTTCAATGAGCTATAATATTGGTATATGAGCCAAAAGTGGAAGGCGGAGAGATGAAGTTAGCAAGCAAATTTTTTATAGCTTCAAACAAGTTTGTGACATTTTATTCCAAACCATTCCTATTTTAATTAATCGAACGAAAATGTTAATGTCAAATATTTTTGAAGAATAAATTCTGTACACAGTAGAATGGTTGTCGAGCATTGAAGCAAAGAGACTTCATCATTGAAGCAAATGCAAAGACATTTTTGTTTGTGGTGCTTTTTTGATGATCAAATGAAATGTTATCAGAGAGTTATTCTCACGAGGAGCTTATTCGTCTGATTTTGTTATGGTTTGCTACTCGTTATGGTCTCTTGTGACACGCTTCCTCGCGTTTTATTGTACTCGATTTACTATTTTATGAGCAATGCGGGAGAGTCTTTTGGCCTCCTGAGGATTTCATTTCTAATACTAGAGTAAGGTGTGGTGTTCGTGGCGTTTTCATTCCCTTTGCATAACGCTGGTCTAACCTTGCTTGGTGAAGCCTTAATACAAATATGTTGTTTGTTTTTTGCGTGAAAACTGAATGAGCGCTTGCTACGAGATGTGTCAAATGGTGACACGCCAGGAACAGTGCGCGTTCCACTACAGATTAACCCGGTATGCATACAGGCTGTTTTAGAAAATGCTTTGCTGTTTATTATTTAGCAGTTGCACCTAGTATATGGACAAATTCGAGCCTTCAATCAACTGTTTTTAAGGCAGTAGTTGCTACTCTTTTGTAGAATATTTCATTCTTAAAGTTTTGGTTGAGTTTATGTACAGTTTTGTAGATCTCAATCATTAGTATCTGAAGGTCATACGCAATTGTTCTCAATCAGAAGAGTATCAAAATCTGACACATTGTTTTTGCATGCCATACGCAGTGCCTTTCCATGTACACTAGGGTATCAAAAGTATTGCACCACCTCGAAGGAGGAGAAATGGCACATGAATGATCGAAAGCTATTGTTATGCAAATTAATTCTGTTTTTAGAGGGCCAATGGCAATTGGTCGAAAGCCAAACAACCACCAATCAAAACTTCAATCTATTTAGAGCATTTATTTGAAAAATAACAGAAGCAAACGTCCTTTAACGGTTTCAAATTTCAATATTTTGACGGGAAGCCGCAAACTTTTGAAACCGCAAAAAGCCTCCTTGAAATGAATCCACATTTTTGGTCAACGTATTCTTGTGGAATTTCGCAATAGGCCTGGAAAATTCTTACAATTAATGATTCTCTGGCTTTTGTACGACCATTTGGATCACAGTTTGTAACATTTTTCATTTGAAGTCAAACATTTTTAGCGATGTTAAAGATTGGACTTGATTCTGGCTATGCCAAATCTTTAATTTCTTTTGTATGGAAATAAATATTTGTAAAAATGGTTTCCATTTACTCAGGTAACCTTTTCTTTTGTATTTGTGCAAAACACTCATTATATTTTCTGTGGACGGATTTTGAGCTGCAAAACCTTGCGCAGTGTTGAGTTTCATGCCTTTTACTGCCCCTTGGTGCTGTACGCAGTGAAATAAAACCGACAAATTCTTTCCCCTTTAACATCAAATTTATTTTGGTCGACAACTTTTCGGTTTCTTTACTACTGTAACATTCTCGAGAAATCTTTTTTGATTTACCGCAGCTGTTGTGTAGCTGCATTTAACTTGGTCAACATTTTTTTTAAAATTAAAGACCACTTCCCCGTAAATGTTTTATAGCGACTCGCCTCTCATTTGACGATTTTGTTTCCTCAGGCATGGTCTACATTTTTTCAAACAATGATGTTTTTCCGTAAAATTTACATTTCTAACTAGGTTTTCTATGGCGTCAGCAAAATTTGCAAACTTTTCCCGCCGAAATTTGATATAAAATATGCCTATTCCACCCAATTCATACATTCAAATGTTTTGCATTGTAAAAAAGTCGACAAAAAGTGCCGCCATTTTGAGCAGGGTGGTGCAATACTTTTGATACCCTAGTGTATATGGTTTATCTTATTATTTAGGCTTTTGTCACAGAACATCCATATAAGTGGGCAATAGCTAAATTGGGATAGAATAAATGCCCTCATTTTTGTTTGAGTTGTTCTGTGCTTAAGTAGCATGAAATGCGGGAGAGGACGTGAAGTTTTTGTCTAGCCTTTTTACACAGTGTTTTTATGTGCGGCTCAAATTGGAGTTTTTTGTCTATTGTTACACCAAGTAGTTTTTTCTCGCTGCATTCGTTGATTAGATTGTTCTCTATATGTATGGCCAAGTCATTAATTTGATTTCTAAAGGTCATGAAGTGGCATTTCTCCCCTTTTAACTTCATACTTTTAACATTCTGCAACTATTGAGGAATTTTTCTTTAATTTAATTACATGTGTGAAATCAATGTCGCTCGTATGGAGATTTTTGTCATCTGCATAGTTGCACATCTCCATTTCTGGTACAAACATAAGCAGATCGTCAATGTAAACATTCAATAAGAGAGGCCCTAGAACTGACCCTTGTGGAACATCCTTGTTGATTTCTTTCCATTCACTGAAGGACCCATTAACTTGAACTCTTTGTTTCCTCTTGTCTAGATAGCTATGAATGAACATAAAGGCTTTTCTGCTGAATCCATATGCATTAAGTTTTGCTATCAGAAGTTCGTAGTTTAAGCAATCAAAGGCCTTTGATAGATCCTTAAAGACAGCCCCGAAACACTTTTTGGCTTCCAGGCTAATCTTGCATTTTTCTGTGAAGCACAGCAGGACATGTCTTATTTTCAAGCAAGGTTTGGAAATGAAGAGTCTCTGTAATGACTACATGTTTCAAATAATTGTCAGCGCTCTGTCGTCTTTCCATTTAGCAGTTTTGGAATTGATCTACATACAAACGAAAAATGCCATTGTATAGACAAAAGGAGTTCTTTTTCTCTCTTGGCTTCCATTGGTAGTTTTTCTTTAGGCAAGCGGCACTGATTGGTCAACTATCAGGGCCTATTTTATGGAAATTTTCCAAGACAACACTTTAAAAAAAGAAGGCTGTATATGAAGCATGGAATTTTAAAATATCGAACGTTGCCGTAAAAAGCGTTTTTCTTTTTTCGTGTAAAACAAAAATATTCAACATAACACGATTACAAAAATGTTTCTATTATAGCCTATTCTTTATGGACTCCGACAGTAACAGTAGTTAAAGGTTAGCATTGCTAGAAGCTCTATAATTCATACTTATTTTAATATTGAAGGACACGCTGAGCCAAGAAATTTAAAAAATTTAGAAAATTCTAAAACGCGCACGATGAAAATCTAAAATGACCTTTGCATATTGAAAAAATCATAAACTTATTTTGCCATGAGCTTGCAGCAGTTCGAAGTTTGTAGTGCATTTTCACGCAGCTTGGTGGCTGTTTGGCCGCCATTGTTGTTATTGTCGCTAGATTCAGGGGTCTTTTACAAGCTATGATTGGCTTTTACACAATTTGAGAGCAAAAAGCTAATTGGCTGTAACATTTTTCGCTCTTGTTGGACCAGATTAATCTGGACCAAGGAACTTGCGCTACGATTCATGGATGTACTGTTCTGTTATGTTATAAAGTTTCAAAACTCTATCAACAGAAAAACATGTTTATAACAAAAATATAGCTAAAATGAAAAAACCCATTCCACAATTTTGAATTTCCAAGACCACATTATGGATTTCCAAGACCACAAAATGTAGGGAAAACCACACTAAAATAGGCCCTGTCAACTATACCGGTCTTGTGCTTGCGTTTTTCCGATTGGCCTATTTCGATCCACACCTGGGTATATATTATTTAACTTTACTCAGTATGCAACAGTTGACTAGCCCTAGGCCGAATTCCTCTATTCTAATCTGACTAGCGTGACTGGCAGAACGTATACTTCAATTTGCAAACTTTCGCCTACGAAAATCCGCGATAAGCAAACAGTTATGCTTACAATGCAAATTTTGCATCAGCATTCATGATGTTGGACGAAAACTACGCAACATGGATTTGCACACAAACTTCGCACCTCTTTCAAGGGCAAATTTAGCAAATGTCTCCACAGGTCGCAAAGATTACGGCAAACGATATAACAAACAGGTTTTGAGACAGAGTGTAGAACCGCGCATTTTCTGATATGCTATCTTGGTATTTTCGAATCAAGACTGAAGCCGGCTTGATACCAGAGTGTTTCATTGATTAAAGATCAGATAAGAGATCTTCTTTCTTCAAACGACCAGCTTCCTTTACAACACTTTAAATAAAAGATTTCATCGCTTCGTTCCTTTTAATTAAATCTCAATCCAGATTTTTGCAGAACACCTGAGAGTTGCTCTTATCAAAAAAAATCATTTTGACTAAAACCGATCAGCTACCGTAATTTTTACAGTGCTTGTAATTCATAAATAAATAATCCTCCACTTGCTTTCTATCTCTAGAACCAAAATCAGAAACAAACTGGAATCTACGTGTGGTCTTTAGCGTTTCCAATTAGAGTTACTGTTCTGATTTATTGATTGGTTGACTGATTGATTGATTGGTTGATTGATTGATTGGTTGATTGAGTGATTGACTGATTGATTGATTGATTGATTGATTGATTGATTGATTGATTAAAATGCACTGTTCTTACTGTTCCCTTTCTCTGTCTGGTTACTGCGAACTATTTTCGAAACTGCTACAATAGCTGGAAAATGATTTTACTATGGACTTGTTTCTGATTTCACTGATAAGCTGTTTATGATTTCACTGATTAACTGTTTCTGATCTCCTGATGAAGTATTTTTGATTTCATTGACAAACTGTTTCTAATTTCGCTGATTCGTCTAAAAGTTAAATATAGATTCTTTTCTCGCATTGGTCTACAACATAGAACATCAAATCATTAACAGAAAGATTCTTCGTAAGATTAAGTGCCCATTTCAAAGGCTAATGAAGAGACTTCAATTTTCAATGATCAAGTTATCTATTCGTTAAGCTCAATATCCTCTTCGCCCACACCGTGAGGGTTTTAAGCGATTCGTAATCAATTCGGACTGATGGCAAAGCTATCTCTAACAAATCTATTGACCAGTTTCTTCAAGACACGTCCAATTATACACGATTCTTCAATTCGAATTCCTTTAAAAAAGGAATGCGGTCAGAAAATTTATGCTGCTTCTCCTGGAACTGGAAAATTGATGAAATAACACAGCTAGGTTGTTGGAATGGGCATCAAAGCAAAAAGTAATATTGATAAAGCTGTGATTCCAAAATATGCAAAAAACAGCAATGATTATTGGAAAGTTCTGAATCTGTTTTCATCGGAGAAATACCTGATTAATAAATCATGTATAATGCCAAATGATATTTAAGTTTCTGCATGTTTATTTTCCAAATTTTCCTTGCACTAAATTCAAGTCTAAAGTTGGTGACTCTTGATCGCAGATAACAAACAACCAAAAGCTAACAAGATATGACAAAATTGCAACAACACTCTTTATCATAAAATTCTCTAAGAATTTCAAGGTGTTTCATTCTTGCATTTAATTCAAAGAAGTTCCAGATACTACGATAGTTTCAACACATATGCACATTGCAATGGTAGAATATTGCAAAAATGTCTTAAAATATTTTCTGGCATAGACGGCGTCTAGCTTAATGCAACAGCTCATTTATAAACCGATGTTTTAAGTTAGCGACCGAAAGAAATAATTCTTTTTCTCTCTTGGATTCTTCAACTAGGTGAGACGTTTGCAGTCCCTGATTGGTAAAAAGCAAAAGAACCAATCAAATGCTCTTTCTTCCTCTCACATGACTTTCGATCTGAACCTGGATATAGACGAAAGTTACTAAAGTATGCTATGTTCCTGCTATTTCGTGCCATCTTCAAATTTTGCAGCACAAAGAACTTATTTCATTGAAATTGTGGTAGGAAAGAGCACTTATTGAAAACTTTGCGAAATTTAGATAAATCCCTTTATATCGTTCTTTGAGTATTCCAAAAATGATGCAACAGGCAGCACACCCATTTCCAACAATGAAAATTCCAAAGAAATGTCTTGTTCCATTAGATGTTATAGGAACTCAATAGGCAGCTCTCTGAAAGGCTACGGTATTTATAAGAAAACTTGGGGCGCCCACAGAAGTTGTTCCTCCAGGTTCTCTTTCCGGACTTTTCCTTCTCATAATTTTTGCAATTTACGCGATTCATGAAGCTAAAATCAAATTCGAAATATATTTAGATTTTGTCACTATTTGCTTATGCTTCTGCGTTTATTGAACCTGTGATTAGCCAAATAATATTACAGACTTGCAAGTATTTTATGTGATGTTTGAATTGTTGTGATTAAACAAAAAAGGTTGTGTGACTTTTGGCTCTTTTTGTGCCCGAAGATCAACTTATAATAAAAGTAATAAAAGATCTTTAAGTTTGCATCTTCTAGGTAACGAACTTGGTGATAAAATGGTTCCATTGTACTTGTTTTATTTGTGAATCGCAATCTTTTGATTATTTGCGACAAAATGCTACTTCATTGCATACCATTCTTAAAAACGTCGATGATTGGTAAAATGGTTAAGATGCTGGAAAGCTTGTGGGTTTGGTATTAAGAAATCTGAAACGGGTCTTTGATACTGCTGACCAGGACGATAATTGTATAAATCTTTAGGGTTCATAGGGTTCATAGTCGTGAGCTGTCATGTTTTCAGTCTTAACTGTACAATCAAAGTTTTGCAATTGTGCAAGGTCAATGATGATTACTCAACTTTAAAGGACATAATGCATTTTAAAGGACAGGGTTCTCGTCTTGGTCCTCAATTATATTTAATTTATATTACTGATCTCAAACAAGCTGCCTAAAACGTTTGTGCTGTGATGTACGCTTATAACACCAGCATATTCAACCTAGCATACAAGCTAACCCAACTGAATGAGATGTTAATGATCGGCAACGACTGGACACTTGTTTAAAATGTAAGAAAGACTCCTTTAGTGTTTTGAAAACAGATTTAATGCTGACCACAACAAAACAAAAGCATACAATTCCCAAGGACAGGGAAAATGATCTTAAAAAAACTTCAAAAAATTGTATTAGGATTGGTTTTAAAGACCAAGTACCTGATTGTCTCTATTGACAGCTCATTACATTAAAAAGAGCACGTAAAATCAATCTTTGGTAAGATGTCACGAGCCCTTGGCTACTTGCAATATGCCAAATCTTTTTTACGACAAAGATTTATCTTTTTTAATCAAGCACTGTTCAGCCACACTTCAGGGCTGCTGTGCTTCCCAAGCTGCAAGAGTCATAACTGAAAGTATCTATGACACCCAAGGCAGACCATTCATTAAAGAACTGGGCTGGAAAACCACTGAAAAGCTTGTAAAAAGTGAATCTAAAGCCTCTTTACATAGTGAAACAAATCTCAACATGAGCTCAGTGGCGGCGCCAGTTACACTACTGGCCAAAATTAACAGGCCACCCTGTTGTTTGGAAGATATTTGGCCAATTACCTTACATAAATCAAGATTTAAACCATTATGTGTGAGTTTTTCAGTGGAGAGAGACACATTGGTTGTTTCTGAATATAATTCAAATGCATTTTGGTAAGATTTTAACACAATTCACTAAAAATATGTTTTCAGTAGCTGGTAGAGCCTCCTTTGGCTTTAATGAGTGCCGAAACACGCCTGTTCATACTGTTGTAAAGGTTAGAAATGTAGTCCTTGGGAATTCTGTTCCATTCCAATTTGACCTTTTCAAACAGTTCATCCTTGTTTTTAAATAAACAATCCTGGATTTTATGTCCAATATAGTCCCAAACATGTTCAATTGGGCTCATATCGGGGCTATTGCCGGGCCATGGCAATAATGGCATCTTCCCATCCATCCACTTTTTAACAGTAATTGCTGTGTGACATCAGACATGGTGCATTGTCTTGTTGAAAAATACCATCACCATCCTTAAAATGATGTCTCATTGATGGCAGAGCACAGAATTTTAAAATTTTGATGTAATGTGCTGCATTAATTGTACCCTCAACTCTGTGTAGACGGCCAACACCCTTGCTACTAATACATCCCCAAACCATTATCCCACCACCTCCATGTTTAACAGTTGGATTTAAGCACTGTGGAAGGTACTCCTCTCCACTCCTCCTTCTCACATAAACTGGCCTGTCACTTATCAAGCAAAATCTGCTCTCATCACTGAAAATAACTTTGCTCCAGTCATAGTCTCGATGCTGCCTTCCCCAATCCAACCTTTTTGCTCTTGCTTTCTCACTCAGTAAGGGCTTCTTTTTTGCTCTGCAATACTTGAGACCACTGTCAACTAGTCTTCTCCTCACTGTTCTAGAGCTAACTTTAATATCATGTGCATCTTTTAGTTCATTTGCTAAAATCCTGGAAGTTTTTCTTCTATCTTTCAATGACTGTTTAACTATCAGTCTGTCTTCCCTAGATGTTGTGATCCTCTTCCTGCCTCTGCCCTTTCTGTCCTCTACACTACCTGTCTCTTTATGCTTTTTAATGATTTGCTGCACTGTGAATCGTGCAACTTTCAATTTTAAGGCAATTTTGTTGCAACTATACCCTTCTTCGTGCAAAACTACTGCCCTAATTCGATCTTCTGTGCTCAATCTTGGTACAGGAGACATGGTCTAAAAATGATAAAAATAGCTTTCCCTTAAGTTTAAGACTTCGATTAGGTTTTACCAATAATAAATAAGGTTTTAAATCGAACAACTAAATCCAATGAAAGCTTTAGATACTAAATTCAATAAAAAATTATAGTATTTTCAATCACTTACCAATGAAAACGAGATATCTTTCCAAAAAATTGAAAATCTTGCTATAAAACGATGAAATAGAGTTACTTTTGGCTTGTTACGATATTTTGGGCCTAAGTAACAACAAATATTCAGAAAGAGGTTGCTGAAAACGAGACTGCTAGACCCAAAGAAAAGGGCAAAGTGTAGGGCAGTCGTGCCCCAAATGAAAAATGTACAGCAGTGTTTTCGGTCAAGTCTTCTCAAAATGCAAAGAATTTCAGAAAATAGTGGGAAATAAAAAAAAAATTAACCACTCTCTTTCCCCTTGCGTAGAACTTTCTAACTTTTTTCGATTCAATCAAAAATGACGACTTGTGGTGGTCTAATTGTAGAAGTTTACCCATGCTTCATACAATTGCGAAGAGTGGCCTGTTAATTTTGGCCAGTAGTGTATTATAGAGTGGGAGGGAAATGGGCGTGGCCAGTGGGACCACGCCCCGTTTGCCTCGTTTTAGTGATTTGTACCTAGATAACTTTTCTTAGGAAATTTGATCTACCCCCACCCAGCGTTTTTAATCCATTTTTAGAAGAAATATGTAGACCATATTTTCAGAAAAGTGTGGGGGGGGGGGTAATTGGCCCCCCATACCACCCCTTGGCACCGCCACTGCATGAGTATGTTCCGCAATGCAAGGTCGATTGGTTCTCCAGTTTTTCCCCTGCCCTGAAGAGTGTACGACGCATCTTGTTAAAAGAACTTGGATCTCTAAAATATTGTTGTTTATGAACGTTAATGAGATGTTTCTTGCGTAAAACAAAGTAACATAAAATATAGCAATTCTTTCGTAGTGCTTTACCTCGAAGGGGATTTCAAAGACTCTCATCGGCAAAGAAATGAAAGGAAGACTATTGAGAGAAATCTTAGGTAACATTTCCATTCCTTTACTTCTTTGCACTTATTATTTCTTTCGATTGTTGGTAGTGTTGAATCAAATCAATGATGTTTAAGCGCTCTTCCTTAGAGCCTTTCCTTAGGGCCAGCGAAAATAATAAACTGCGTTCATCTTCACAGTCCTTAATCCTATTTTATTTCGGAACAAGGACTTCGAATTCGGGGTGGATATTTTTGGCATGTTTTAGCAGTGGAGGTTAGACAAAAAACTGAACAACCAAGACAAAGTTAAGAGACATAATGCACTTCGTTAGAGTAGATTTCGGATAAAGTTTATATTTTATATCAAAGTAATAGTGGTCATAAAACAGACAACCAGGGGAAAGATTACCCTGCGCCCAACTGAGATCGTCTCAGCTTGAATCCTCTCGCCTCGGATTGTTTCGGCTCGGATCGTCCACAGTCGGACAAGGCCAAAAACGAGTAATTCATATTGAATATTGGGGTTTTCACACTGGTCATAACTTATTTTGCCAATTTAGAAACATTTTTGCTGTTCTTTATTGGTTGGGTGGTCATTTGAGAATTCTAAACCAGAGTTGTATGATGTTATACTACAGACGCAGAAAAAGACAATTTGCCGCATAATGATACAATTGAGTATTTACAATTTTAACAGGAAAAATGAAAAATCAAATGCCGTGTATGTTTAAATCGATTACAATTGCTTGATGTAAATACTGTAAACCTAGATTATGAGGAGAGTGTTTCGTTTTTGAAATTATCCTGTAAAAGTTCCGTTAAGTTCCTGTAAAACAGGTTTCAAATGCGATGTACTAAACCTTGAAATGAAATGAAATGATGAAAACTGTTTTATCAATACTTGTTCCTGGTGATTAAAATATTTCCTATTTATAGAGGGCCTAGTTCGTATCTACAACTGCGTTGCAGGGTGGCTTAAAATACATGAAAGCATCCTAGCGATAATGCCTTGTTACCCCAGCTTTTGGTGCAATGTCTGGCAAGGGTGGGTGCGGTTTTAAGGGCTGAACCTGGCCGTACCCTGGCCCAGGAGGTGACGAAAAGTTCTGATTCTGCATGGGTGGATGTGCCATTTGGTTTTGTGGGGTTATTCTTTGAGTGCCATTCAACTTGCTCGTTAGATCATCGATTCTGAGGTTCTTTAGGTGTAAAAGATGCTCCAGTCTCCTGACTTTCACGTTCAGAATCTAAAAATAAAGTTTACTTGAATTTAAAATACAGTTTAAAACAACTGGTTTAATGAAAATACTAAAAGTAGTAAATGAAACTGTAAGAACTGGCAAGCAGTACGGAAAACTTTATGGACAATCTATAAACTAAAAATGCATTAATTCAAGTTTAGACAATGTTTATGGATAAGACTACGAAACTGTGCAAATGTTGTATCCTAAAATTCATGAATCACAACTAAACTTTATTTAGAAAGTTGATAATGTAAGTGGATCTGTTTGAAAGTCAAGCGTTCAGTGTAGTAAAAAAATGACGCGCCCTCGAATAATTGACTTTATGGAAACTGGAACATCGCTTTAAAAAGAACAGCAAATATAATCTACAAGCAATCTTTGGTGAGCATATAAATGAAGAAAAGGCCACGATAGCAAGATGCTCGATGGACTACAATGGAATGCTTGCGCTGATAACAAACAACAACGAACACAAGAAAAATGAAATAAACTGAAAGTTTATAAAGCAAATTTTCATTTACTTTTATTAGTTGTTGTTTGTTTTCGGTGCGTTGCGGTGTTCCTTATTTTCTACATTTAAATCATTGGCACGGCACTTTTTCCTTAATCTCCAGATAAACGCTCTTAAAATTTCACTGAAAATTGCCCAACATGAATGTCCGGTACATGTTAAGACCATTTGATAGCATTGTTCAGCCAATGAACATTGGGTGAATGCTGTTCCGTAATTTTTGCCTTTGAGCAAAAATAGTTAGCAAATATTATCCCGACTGAGCAATGTGCCTCACTTGTGGCTAACCTTCTCTTCTCAACAATGGTTACTGCTTGCATGCAAACTAACTTCAGATCTAAAGCAAGGTCAACGGTAAACGTGCTCCTTATTCCATTAAAGGAAGGCGCAAGAACAGAGAATTATGCAAAGTTCTGGCAGTTTCAAGCCCAAGATAAGGTAATTTCAAGTCATTGCCGTGATTTATTAACACCAAATCAACAATTTTAGAGATATGTCGATTGCTGCTATAGAAGAAAACGCGATGGCTAGGCCTGGCGCTACAGGGAAACTTTCACCGAAAAATGTAAAATGATGGAGTAACGACGAGAAAGATACTTTAACTTATCTTCCGGAAGAAAGAAGCTTTGCGTTGTGAACATATAGATAAATTTGGCATGTCAATTTTCAGCCGATTATTTACATTAGCAAAGTTTTTTAATTTCTTACTGCACTCTCACTTGCATCGGGCTGGATGACAAATCTCCTTTACTTAAGCAAACTTTTTTTTCCTTACTCCAAAAAGTAACAATAAATGGAGAAAAAGGGGAGTGCCTCTTGGAAAAGAAGGCGGGTATGATTCTCAGCGCAGAAGGCGATGGGGGTGTCGTTGAAATTATTTATTAGTACTTGGGGCAATATAATAATAGTGTAATGGATTATACCACTATCATTCATTACTAGTAGTGAAGCATGTGAACTAATGAGCAGAGAATTGGCTAGTCATCCATTCAGAAGATCGGTTGGTAATCACCAGTGCAAAAGGGGCAAGGTATTGTTGAGGTTGATTCATCAAGTCCTCTAGACCGCTGTCATCTTAATAACAATCATAGTCTTCCTGGAGCAAAAAGAATTACCAACCTGGACTGTTTCTTGAGAGGAGAGCAGGGCTTGTTCCTTTTCTTCTAAAGCAATTTTCAATGCTTGAAGTTCATTTTCGTTTTGGTTGGGCGGTTGAACAGATACCCTGGAAAACACCGAATTATTAGCATAAGATTTTGTTTTTTTCTAGATATAAATTTGATTAATAAAAAACAGTCCTGTATCTGTATGCAAAATAATTCACGCATTTGCGTTTTATAGCAGAACATGAAATATCACAGAGTCTTACTGAAAGATTTTTTTAAAAATTTTTTAAAAAAGTTACAAGGTAAATGAAATACCTCCATAAATATAAAGAACAATTTTATGAAGTTCTGATCAAAACTCATGCTTTCATGTTGTTTGATCAACATCAATGTATAATCAAGGCAAGACGATTCAATGTGACTGAATGCAGTCACGACAATTACAAAAGTATCTATTCATATAAGCCTTAAGCTTGCTAACGAAATGATGAACTGTTAAATTACAGAATGTCACCTTTTGTCTCCTGCTTTTCCTGGTACAACTCCATTAGATCGCGGAGAACTCTCTGAAAACTGTCGCTGCTTGGAATTGTCTGGGCCCATTGGCGGGTATGTTCGATTATCAGGGATTGTACGAGGCTGTAGAGATAGCAAGCGATGCTCAAGTGACACAAGAATATTAAAAACAACCAAACCATCGATTATTATAATCATCTACAAAGATTAAATAATAAAAGCAAAGCTCTTATTTCCATGGACCGATCTTCAATCTTTGTATAGGCCTTTTTCGCGAATGTTTGCACAATAATTTTCTGGAGCTGCCGATAATAGGAAAATGTGGCTCAAAATAAAGGGTGGGACACCAACACACAAAGATATCCCCACTTGCTGACTACTAAGATAATCTCAATTTTTTTTCATGTTGCTGTTTTTTATTCCAAAACTTTCCTAGACCTAATTTGAATTTCAGCTTCTCTAAAGTTGCTTTTTAGTTGCATCAAACCCGCAATTCACATCACTTCTGGAATCGCAATAATTTAACTTTAAAAGCTGTCTTTTGAAACTGCTAGCAACGGCACTCAGGAAACAATCACCAAAATCTTAACAGCTCTTCAATTACTTCAAGTAAAAAGCACTAAATTCATGCTTCGCACAGAAGAAAAAACTATCGTTATAATTTTCTGTGGCTTTTTACGCTTTTTGGAATTCAAATTTTGCATAGAAACAACAGTAAATGCTATACAACCGAATGGTGCTAAAAAGAATGAAAATTAAAACATATTTAGGAATTTAAACCCATTCTTATATCTAAATAAACTTCAGAGTGGAGCAGCATGACTTCATAGTCTGCATAACTTCATAGTTTTACTTGATGTTTATATTTAAAGATTAGAAAATTTGCTAAACTTTCATTACCTCACTTTGATAATAATACGGCGGCTGCTGCTGTGGTTGTTGTTGATTGGTGGGAGGGTAAAATGGGTGATTCTGACCAACTCCATTGCTGCCATAGTCTATGGCATAACCTCCGAGTTGTCCTGACAAACAGAAACTGAACATTATTTGAAGCCTTAAATATTTTTCAAAGAAATTTTTTTCTGATGGAAACGGAGATGGTGGTGGTGATGACAATTTATAATAATAATACTACACCGTATTTCTTACATAATCGAACTGTGTACTTATAAGTGCCACGTCTATCACACTAGTTTCAAGAGCGTGCCCTTATTCGAGCATGTGCGCTTGATCAATCGTGTGTGCTTATTTCTAAAGATAGTGACAGACAAATAAAAATTTTACTATCACCATCCAAATGTAGTACTGTGCCAGTAGAACTATCATTCCTGATTACAAATTTCTATAACGCTTTACCGGAAACAATATTTTTGTTATGGGAGACGGACACATACACATAGGAAACAGGTATATGGGTGCAGGGGGGTTGGCTGCATATTTACTACATAATTACATTGCTTTTACACTATTTTTTTATAAGAACAATTTTATAAGAACACGAGCCTCAAATTTGGTCAAAATTTAAAAACAACCTAAGAACAAGCTGAGGCTAAGCTAGTGTAAAATATAACTTTGAAAAATGCTTCATCTCAAAGACGAGGAGTTTTTTGCCATCTAGGAATGGTTCATTTTATTTACCTCTCTTGAACCAGCGCAGTGGGGTGATCCTTTGTCCCAAATTATACCAATATATTAATGTAAACAATAGAATAACAAATCATCAGCAATGCCCCGATGAGGCGCAGTCCAATATTTTGGAAAAGATATATCGATGACATAACTTTTATCTGGCAACACCAGTTTGAAAACCTACAGGAATTTATACCCTATATCATCCACAAAAAATAAAAAAAATATCAATACAATATACAGTCGACTCCGTTTATAGTCACTCCGCCTTAAGTCCCACTTCTAGTTACAGTCAGATCAAAGTTAGACCGCAAATACGCAAAACGAGTCAATCAAGTTTAGACCCTAATAGCTCCAATTACAGTGTCACACTCGGTTTACAGGCACAAGTTTTCAAGCAACATTTAGTGTGACTATAACATACTCGAGTATGTTATATCGTATACTCGAGTATTTCTGTTCTGAAACACGCCGCTTTTATTTGGGCACACTACTTTAGCAACAAACTGGATTCCAGATCTCTCCCGGAACAAAGCTGCGTGGCAACGCCCGGTTTAGATTACATCATTTTCTCTAGTTTTCTGGCAAGCGGTGCTTGTCGTTTACTCTGATGAAGCCCTGTATGCCGGGGCGAAATATTAGTATACTCTTTAAATTTAATTTATTTTGAATATTTATTTCGTGACATTGGATTCTCGTCGTCGTATTGCTTTGTTCCTGTATATCTTTCTTTCTTGTCTTTTTTGCATGGTTTTTAGAATAAAACACAAATATAGTCTAAAGATATAACCATAAGTCCACAGTGAAAGGAAATCAGAATCTATTTAGAAGCCTATTACATCCATCCAACCAAGGCTCACGCTGGCAATCCTATTTCGTGTCACTGGTAGACATTTTATGCTGGCAATTCCTATGTCGTGTCACTGTATCATTTTACTTTTGGAACAGACAAATTCCAAGCATAACCTTCTTTCTTTTTACCGTTATATAAGAAAAACATTGGTCGAAAACATTTCCCTTGCAAAAATTTGGTTGGGGGAGGAGAGTAGGAGTACTCTAGGTGCCAGAGCCTCAGAGAGACAAAGGAGATGGTAGGGGGGGGGGATGGGGAAAAGGAATTGCAATGCTATTGGTGGGCCTGACACTGATCACATGAAGTTGACTTTTGCTAATTTACAACACAGCTTCCATCAATGGCAAGTTGTTAGCAACGGATAATGATGTCACATGGAACCTCGGCAATCACACCAAAACCAAATTCCCCCCTAGAGAAAAGGCCTATTTCCTTTGACTCAATGCCTTGAAGTTTTTCTTACGGAACTTAAAATAACTTTCTCTATGTGTAGAAATATGGAAGTAGCCATATTTGATGAAAATATGCCAAGAAAAATACCATACACGTATGTCCTTGTTTTTGACTGTTTCAAATAAGCATAGACATATTCATAAATTAATGTGGCATTTATTCGAATATCTGTGCATGCATGCGTGCATGCTTTCTTGAGAAAGTTTAGTACACCATATTGCTTTGATTTTAGCTGCCGCATACAATCATACTAGAACACTTTAGAAAGGCTTTCATGCGAAAAACCTGATAATAATGGCTTAAACTTTGGTTGAGAAAATCTGTTTTCATATCAAATTTGACCTTCTCTAAAATGATGAAAAGAGATGATCTAGCGATGATTCCCTTCCTCTTTTGGTGTACTAGTTAGACCAAAGATGCTGAAGAACAGAATACACAGGTTAAGTCTGACATGACAAGTCAACAGGCAGGAAAATAGTTACAGAAACTATGGTTATATTCTCGTTCAACTGATAAAATCTTTAATAAAATGGCTTTGAAAAAAGCAAACATTTAGTAACTAAAGCTTTTCGTCTGACACTCTTCAGAGTTTAAAACGTCAGAACATAGACCGAGAACTCTGCGCTAGGAAATATATATACCCTGTTGTGGATCGAAATAGGCCAATCAGAAACACAAGCACATGACTGTTGAGGTTGACCAATCACTGCCCATTGAGAATGTTACCAATGGAGTCCTAAGGCGAAAACGACCTCCTTTTGTCTACACAGTGGCGGTATTTTCGTGCTTATGTAGATTTCGTGCTTATATTCTGAAAAATATTGTCTGCAACTGCTATTTGAAAATGTTTAAATGTTTAATCTGACTGTGAAAGTGTTTCAAAGAACATTATTTTGCAGTTTTGAGCTTAAAAGCTCCATATCAAATCCTTAAATATGAAGGTGTGGCTTACGTTGAAGGACAGCTTGAATCAAACATACATGGTAATTCCAAAGAAGCAAGATGCGAAACTTGATACATTCCAAAGAGAAATTCTGAATGCAAAGGAAAGACATTACAAAGACAAACTTTGAAGCAAATATCAGCACAAAACTTTTGCCAAGTTTGGATAACTATACCCTTACCATTTGGTGGCCGGTATGATCCATCGTTGTAAGGAAGATTTTGCGCATAATACTCTTCACTTCTGCTACTCATTTCACCTCCTAACTCGTCATAAACTTGTTCCTTCTCTCGCAAAGCCGCAGCCTTTTTCTTTGCTTGAAATGTTTCAATCTGTAGAAATCAACATTTTAGAGTGAATTGTTATCTAAACAGGCAAAACAAAATAACTATTGAATAACATTATGGTGCAAATAACAATATATAGATTTTTTGTTTAAGGAATAAACAGATTTGAAAAGTTTTACACCATGGTAGAAATCCAAAAATAGGGCATTTGAAATTGAAATAATCCTTTTGCGCGGATCAAGGTTTGAAAACTATAATTTAAAATTCCCCTTTTTGAATTTTTGGAATAAATATTGCAAGTACTAAAATGGCAACCAGCCCAAAGTGGCCTACACCAACCCAAGAAATTTGTCCATACCAACCCAAATCCAGCAAGACTCAGCCTGAAACCTCATACACTGATCTGCTGAGAAGTGGTATCTGGTTCTTTGTGAGAACAATATTTTAACCCATTGAGAACCATTATAATAATGCTCAAGTGTGATGGAGAAGCATTGTTTCTGGATTTTAAATATGGTGCATAATCAAAGATCAGATCAGAAAGGCAAGTAAACGAGGACCAGACCAGTCAGTGGCGAATATCGCCTTAAAAATCTGTGGGGGCAGGGGGGCTAGCCGGGGGCCAGCTTCCAGTTATAGGGGCCAACGCTATCCATTACTTTGCGAACTAGTTGAAATTCAAAGCAGTGGCGTGGTTGCTCAAAATTACCTACAAGGCATCGATTCTTAGCGCCCCCCTAGATGGGTATTTTCTTGGTATAGCTCTACCTGTTATCATTATGCCAAATAGTTTTATAAGTGGCATAACGCGCAGCTGCATCCCCTAGGAAAAATAACAGAGAAAAGTTGTTGCTAGGGGCCCCTAAAGGTGCGGGACTTATTTGATTATGGAAAAATTCTATCAATCAACCTTAGAAAGCTATTAGCCTTTTATTTTTAGAAGTGATGTTCATGATGCATTATTGTTAAAAAGATAAAACTCAGCTGAGTAACGGACTAAAGTTAGCTTCAGTTAAATTAGAAGTTATGTCTTATACCCAATCTCTTATACTGAATACTGAAATTCATACTGAATTTCAAATCATAGAATTTCGATAGGCAATATTAGATTAGCAATATGCCAAGGTATACTGGAATAGTATTGGTATTTCCCATTGCTGGATCAAAGAGTGAAAAAGAGTTTTCAATGAGTTGCGAAGAACCTTGAGTTGGGCTTACCTTGCCCACCCCACCCCAAGAAGGTGTATCTTTGTGATAATATATAACAAATATAGAATTTCAATGATTTTCAAGAATGAATTTTTCTTGGTTACTACAGAAAGGAACCAAATTCCATTAATGTTCACCTCGGTTACAAACCAACACGATTATCAGGGGCCCTACAATCCTTCACAAAATATATTGAGACCAGTGATGAAATCAGAAAAATTTATTGACAGTCACCTACTAGAATTGTATTTGACCCCCTCCCTCTTCAAGCAATGTTGTTGAGATTTTGTTATTATATACAATCTTTGCACACACGACTTGCAACTACATCACCAAACCTCAACAAACAACATTGTTTGGAGGGGGGAGGGGGAGGGAAGAGGACGGTGGAAGGATTGAGCAAAATAAGTCTGTCTGAAGCCCAAATCAAAATTACAAATGGTTTACAAAATAATTTCGATAGGTTTTCTTTTGGGCAAAATACACCAAAAAGACATTTGCATTATTGTGAGGTGGGAAGGAAAAGCAGTCTCACAATTTTTGTGGTCAATTGTAGCTTGTTTGATACAAGCAATAAAGATTGCCTCGAGCAAAATAGAGAGAGCAACCCTAAAAAAGTCAAAAAACGATTGAACAGTTTGGAATAAAACATTCAATTTTTAATAGCAATTTTTGAAAAAACTGGGGGGGGGCAAACAAGAGGCAAAGAAAATTTCTGGGGGTTGTGGCCCCCCGTAGAAACGTCACTGCTAGGAGTGCACCTGACAAAGTAATTTTCAAAGAGATTTAGAAGCCTTGACCTGAATCTGCCTTATCATTTCTTAACTAGCACAATTTAGGTCACAGGGTAACTTCAGTTTGAAAAACATGACCTGTACTGCTATTCACTAATGCTAAGTCTTAGAAATTTTTCTTTGCAAATGTATGTTTTATCATGCATCTTGGCTACTAAAATATGCTCAATCCAAAATATATTTGGATGAACTGTTAAGCAAACTTTCCTTCCTTCCACACCAGTCTAAGAGCACTCAAAATCTCATTGAAAATTTCCCTACCTTCCTTTTCAGAAGACATTCATTTAATAATGGTGCTTATTTGTTTTATATTTTTAGGTAAAAACTCCAGAAATCAACTTCAAACTTGTGGTCACCAAGTTAATAGAAAATTTGAAAGAGCCAAATGATATTTGTAAAGGACAAGCAATGAAAAACCAGAAGGTGAGAAACAAAACACTGTGTTTAGCATGTACCAGCTGAGATATTGTAAATAAATTTATCACTTAGGAATGCTCATCTGCACAATTCAGAGGGAACTAAAACTACAAGTTAGTTAAAACTATATTGATTGGCAAATGATTGTAGTGTTTCCGGAGCTAGAATGGACAATTAAAAACAAGGACTTGGTTAAGCAATGCCATAAAACTGTCAAACTACCACACATATTGACATTGTGATGTTGCACAAGGCTACTCAATATTAACAAATACTGCCACAATGTGGTTGACATCATTACCTCCTTAGCACTATTTGTACCTGTTTAGGACACTGGTACAAAAATTATCTTGTGCTATTCATTTTGTTAACATTTTTCTGGTTAGTTATTTTCAAAATTTCATTGGTCATGAAAGATTAAATATTTAGCAGCACAGGCTTAGCTAGCTTTGCAATTTCTGGACCCATGGATGCAAAATTTAGCTGTATTTTCAGGTTGCATGTTATGAAAATAGTTGGCTTGGGCTGCTCTCAAATCAGGCAGAATGTCAGATTTGCTCAGTTCCACTGTGTAAGTAAACTCTATGAGATGTCTTGAAAGGTTATGAACACAGCCAAAAAATATGTTTGTCTCTGTAGATATGTCATAATGTTTTTGGGAAAAGTCAAAGGGGTGAATGTTTTTTTTAAATTTGTTGCATGTGGCTAAATACTAAATACATTTAATTGGTCAATTGGATGGTCAAGTTATCAAGAGTTTACAGTATTTCTTTTGTTTTAATTCATTTGAAAGATTTGGTTTTTTTCGTAGACAGCTAAAACTAGTATTGTATTGTTTTCCTCTGCATGATAATAGCCAATGGATCATTCTTTGTATCATTAACATAACCAAAGAGAAACTTTGTGAAAAATAAAATTGGCAATCAAATTGCTTACTTGGTTTACAAAATTAGAGAAAAATTGTTTGAACCTCACCTTTTGCCTGAGCCTGTAGAGAAACTTCTCTATGTCACCAGGTTTACTTGAAATTATGCCTTTTGTCAACTGTTGTGGTACATTGTAACCAAGTTTAGTCAAAACTTTCCCTTAAAAAGACAATTCATAATCAAATCATGATTTATTTAAACATCTTTAGTTAAAATTACATATTGAGAAAAGCATGTCCAATTTGTTAAAAATTCAGTTTACCAGTTCCTTTGCAAATAGATTGATGTTTGCAAAATCCAGTGTAACTTTTTTGATGACTACAAAAGGCAAACTCTTTTTCAACAGTTTCCATCAAACATGAGTTTCCATCAAACATGAGATAGGCAAATCCATTTAACTTTATATGTGCAAAAGCGATCATTGCAGGAAATTTGTATATAGTTATTGGCAAGATTAAACCATGGACAATTATTCGAGGATTAATTTAAAAACAAACTTGTCAGGAGATTCCAATTGTCTGCTTTTGCTTGATTTCCATTGGCAGCAACATAATTATGTAAGTCAATCACTTTTGGCAAAAAATGGTGAACAATCTCTGCAACTAGGACTGAAATGTAAAAGACATAATCAAATTTTGAAAAATCTTAAAAAGAAGCCTTTGCTAGTTTCATGAGAAGAAAGAATTTTGGTTCTACATAATAAAATGTGTGAAGGATTGATAAAAAATTGATATGGCTATGTAAACTATTTGACCCCTGAGCAAAGGAGCAGGCATAGTCTCTCATTTTTTTGGCATTCAATACTATTGGATAATAAACATAATATTCCCAAAATAAAGACAAAATTACTAAAATAACAATAAAGATTTTATTCTCAAACTACCTCACGTACAGTCTTACACGATGAAACAATCCATCTGGTCTGCGATTTGCCATTTACCTAGAAATTACAGTTGCCAGCATAATCACGCAAAATTTAATCAAAACTTTACAATTTGAAAATGAACTTCAGCTTACCACCGTCACTAAAATCTCTGGAAATATTTTTCTTTGGCCTTGTAAGTGGAATTTCATCGATCCACGTATAAAGGTCCTGCAAAGCAGTTTCATCAAGTTCGAAGTCAAAATTTTCGCTTGTCATTCTTGCAAATTGTTTGTACAAAGTTTGGCGCTTGTCAATTCAAAAATAATCTCAAAGGCGCTCCTAACGAAAAAGCGATGGTCGTTTATCGCCTCGCGATTAAAAAAGCAGGCAAGCAGTAGCATCGTACATCATGAATCTAATCTCGAGGCGACAACAAACGTTTCAAAATTGGTGCATCTCCCATTTTTCATGTATCATGGTCTTGTTTCCCATAAACCACAGCTTTGTAAAATCATACAAAAAGCAACAATGATGGTTTAGGCCGGGTTCTTTTCGTTCGTTGGCGTTTGCGCTTTAAAAGTAATATATTCTGCAAACATCTGCCTCCAGAAAGTCCAACCAGTATATGTTTGTAATTATGTTCGAATGAAATACGCAAATAGAAGTTTAATCGTGGTGGATTATGATTGTTTTTATAAGGATATCAACATCCCAGCAATCACGTTTCCATTTTGATTTACTCGCAGCCCAGTGCCTATTATTGTTGTTGTCATAACGAAGAGATAGCAACCGCAGCAACAGTGACGAAATGAATCTTAATCAATATGGCGCGAAACTGGACTTCTTTTATGATTCCTTTTAAAAGGTGTGAATATATGTGATGACAAGTGCTAGATCATTAACACATTGAATCTAATTGTTGTGAAATAAGCAGCAATGAAAAAAAAGAAAGTCACATGGTACCATTAAATTTCTTTAACTTTTCTGCACCGTGGAGCCTATTTTGATAAGGTTTTAGCCCCCCTCCACTTTTTAGGAGGCTAAAACCGTATACCCCCCACTTTTCTCAACGCTCCGCGGTACCTGTAGGCAGGGCATTCCTCTCAACCATCGATCGCATTGCCTAACCTTTGTTTTCTCGGCTGATTATGGAACAATATGGTATAAGGAATAATTTAAGCCCTTACAACATTTTCAAAAATTCATCAAAGTCACGTTACCGATGACGCCAAAAAGGTTATGTTTCCTAAACTCAAAACCATTGCAACTTCTTAAGTATACGTCTGACTTAAATATAAACGCTAGATTCGGGCTCACCTGAAGGAAAGCTTTCCAATGATATATACACAACAGTATTTTAACGATGTCAGCAATTTTCAATGATGACGTCATCACTTTCAAAATGGCCGTCAAACAGTACATTATAAGACAAAAGCTCTGATCTAATCAAACGCATTTATGGATGGTTTTGTGGCAATTTTTTGTCACTTAATTATTCTGCATCACTCAATTTAACGTTTTAAGGTACATACCGTAAATCCTCGAATTGCTCCCCTCGAAAAGGCCCTCCCCTCGAATAAGCCCTCACCCTAGAACTACAAATTGTCAATAAGCCCCCCCCTCCTCGAATAAGCCCCCACTGCTTCCATAAATTCTCAAATGGGACCCCTCAATTTGATGATTTTTGCCATCTGAGGTTGCCTACGGCGTTATATTGAATTACCACAACAAATTAATATATTTGGTAGTGACTAATTAAATGCTCTTCTTAATGTCTACAATATTTTTATAACCCCCCCTCGTATAAGCCCCCCCCCCTCGAATAAGCCCCATCCAAAAATATAAGAAATAAATAAGCCCCCAGGGGGCTTATTCGAGGATTTACGGTTTTTATTCGCCTCAAATCCATTTACCGCCAGAATCCTCCGACGAACTGAAGTCATAAACTTCCCGTTCACTCTCTAGTTCATCAGAAAGTTCAGTGCTACTTAGGTCAGGGTATCTTCTAGGAATGTGAATCAGAAAGGAGCTTAATGTTACTTTCATTCTGTTATACATTTTTAGTCTTGTTTCCATATAGCTTCTCTTGACCTTGCCAGAATACATTACCATTTGAACAAACTTTTGAAAATCTTCTATATCGCTATCACTAACCAATTTTTTTCTCCAAGGCTGTCAAGCAGTTCAAGGTATCGCGGGCTCTTGATGATTTAGAATTAAACCCAGATAAAGCATGTGAAGCCTGTAGATTAAGGCAAATATATCTTCAGAAATGGGAACCGTTTGCGTTTTACATGGAGAAAAGCAAAAGCCCAATGTGTCTTCCTTCAGAAATCAGTCTTATAAAATCAATTTGCTTCTAATTTCGATACAGGAGCTCGTGGCATTTATATCCTTGCATCATGTTTTGGTAATACACTTTTAAATAACCTCTTGGCCCAGGTTCACCAACTTATACCCAGCTTCAGGAGCAACAAATTTGATAAGGCTGTGCATCCGCGCTCGGTACGTTTGCATCGGCTTGATGAAGCGAACTGCTGCCACTCCGTCTACTATCCAAACGGCAGACTTCGGAGGCATGTCTTTGATCCATTGCCAAACCTCGAGCAAGAGTCGTTGCAAGGTTACTTTGTCTGACTGACACAAAGTTAAACCAGCTGTAGCGATAGCAATTGAAAGAGGAACGGTTGTCATGGGATGAGTAAATGCCTCTTGCAGACTCCCTGCCTTCAAAATGAGTAGTTAAAGGCCTGTTTTTGTGTTCCTTGACCACAGTAATTGCTGCAGGTGTCCCCTTGACCTTTTCCAGATCTGTCTTCAGCTTTGTTTTTCTTGATCGGCGTGAAGAATTAAACGCTGCCATTAATCAGGCGATCATTTTTGAAGCGATGCATATTCTCTTCTCCTATGATCGGCGCTGCAAGGAGGTCAGTAGAACTTTATTGATCTAATTCTTCACCAGTTAAAGTTGATTTTGCAGGAGCTACAGAAAACTGATTGGTGCCATAGCTTCGAAGAGTTCTCTAAGGCTATAATTATGCTTCTGAAGGAGCATTGTCCCACCTGGAATGTTGTGCTTGTGAAACGATGATGACTTCACGAAAAAGTATTGCTTCAGAGCCTCTTGGATTGCTATGTGGGACGTAGCAATCCAAGTGTTAACCGCATTAACATTTGCTGAAGCCAGACCTGTATGGACTTGCAGTCCCTTTAGCTTCTTGATTAAATAGCTCTGTATGTAAATCGCAATGAATTGCAGAGAATTTTTTTGAAATTTCCGCCAAATCCATATTTGTTCTAATCTTGGAATGCTGTAGTTTGTTCACCCTCACACTGTAATGATTGAAGTGCAATGGAGAAGCAGATGTTGGTATGTACAGTAGCGGGCAAAATTGATGTGATTCAATGCAAATGTAAGCAGAATCATATTTCGCACTGCTTGCAAAAGTAGCTTAGTGTTGCTTTTCTGCACAGCTGCTACCATGCTCAACAAAGCAGACAAATCCTCCAGCTTGGCGATTTCAAGACACTTTTCAGTTTTTTGACGATTTTCAAGAATCAACAGTTTTTGCATCAATCTGCCATTGCTTATGGGCATTGACTGTTTGTGTTTTTTGGAAAAGACGTTGGCGAACCCATGAGTTGATGATAGCAACCCATCAGCACATTGATTTGACTATACAAGTCAGCATTCGTTCACATAATTTATATGTTTCAAAATTTTCAATATATGTTTGAAACAACCCATCTAGCCCTTGCAACAAACAGGGATCTCTTAGCATAAGCATATCTTAGCATATATCTTGAGGTGAACATTGGTCCTCTTGAAAATTGCCCAAATTGCCCTACCACTGAATATTCCTTAAAAAATGCCCTGGTTTCAGCTGAAGAAAACATGTATTGTTTGAACTCACAGGAGTAAGACAAACAACCGGCGAGCTACACAAAGAAAAATTGCAGCAAGAATTAAAAACATATGATCGATACAAGACAAATTCATGGCGGACATTTTCCATACTTTTGTACCCAAGTTTACTTATGCATACCAAATGCCTTTCAGCTTCATGTTAAATAGGTTTGTCTCGAAACATCACGTTTGTCTCTATTCGAACGAAACTTATTTTTTTGAGTTAAATCTCAATTTAAATACGAAATAAAATGACGACAATGCAAGAGTATGTCCGATATCAAAGAAACAACTTGCGTCCAAGATAAATTCATTCACAAAGCAAGCATACAAATTAATCAAGCACAGGACGTATGAGCATGTCTACTTAGCGATAGCTATAGAGAAATAAAGAGAAAATGTGAAGTCTGCGCTAATGTAAGGTAATTGTTCCACTCCTGCGCCCATGCCAGTGACGTGTCCAAAGAGTTGATGGTCCAATTACTTGCCCCAACGACGGCGGCGTTCACCGGGCTGACGGGCCACAAGGTTGACAAGGTCTGCAGAGGAATAAACCTTACATCAATTTATCTTCAAAAGGTATACATTTTTGTGCTGTGGATCCCAAAATACGACAAAGACCATACGACCATACCTTTATCAAGATAAAGCTCAAGATGTCGATGTTCAAGAGTAGCGGATTTGATTGAAGAACTTTTCAGCAAATGAACATTAATGCTCAATGCAATCCGAACATCAATCGCAAACATTTAAGCTGGACATCTATTTAGATTTTATACAAAATATTTTTATATGATGCAACAGTCAACAAGATGTCTTGCAAATGCCTTATTAAAATATTTAATGATCAAGTAGGGTTTAAAAGTCATTAAAACCTTTCTTCATCTGATCTCTGTTTTCTAACCCCTCCTCTTGCATGTCCTCGAATTGGTCCTCCTCTGAATTCTCGTCCTCGTCTTCGTCGTATCTTCGAGCTTAAAGGTGGAATCGGTTTTATCATGAAAGAACGCAGAAAAGGTTTTTTACAGTTTTTTTTTCAAGCTTACGATAAAATAATCTAATGTGAATAATGATAGCCTGATGTGAAAATAGACCCCAATAAAGGTTTATGAACCAATCCAAGATACCCTAGAACTGGCTTCTTAAACCACCACTACTGCTCAAAAAGCTTTTCCGTTCAATTCTTTTAAGACATGCTAAGAAAACTTTGAACTTCTAACACATTTCGCTGAAAAAGTCATTAGCTCACTGAATCCGTAAAAATGTTCAAGGGGTAAAGTAGATTCAATAAATTGTTGCTAAAATAAACGCGGTTGATTTAGGGGCGAAGCAAAGACAAAATGAAGTTAAAAAATGATACCCTTACCGTTTGAATACGCTACAAAAACTGCACAAATCAGTAGCAAAAAGACTAGACACTTCATCTTTAACTCTATGGATGCAAACATATTTCAGTTGAATATGGATAGAAATTTAAAGGAAAGGCTTTACTAAACGCAATTTCCCTAAAATTTCCAAGCCATGTTGGCATTAACGAAACTAATTACAATTCAGTCTGTATGTTTCTTTGGCAATTGATTGCATCTATTTTACTTATGTTGTTGCCCTAGGCGATGCTTTCTATTCAAATGTTCTTTCTTACAAAACTTTTCGATAATAGCTTCAACTGTCCAAGCAGAGATCGATATCTCCTAACCAAAACAGTTTCGGTATACCTTATTTTGATTTTATTTTCAACGAAGCCATGCAGAAAAAACATTACACTGAGGGCAGAAAAAGAATGAAATGAAATTTTCTGGAGAGAATTACTTCTCATGGGCTTGCTCTGTATATACTGTGATTTTATATTTATCTTACCCAAATATGAATTCAACAAGGCAACTAATTGTTAAGATTACTTCTTTTCTCACAACGATAAGATTACATGTTGAGTAAATTACATACTATCTCACAACGAGTCCGTACGGTTTTTAAACACATAGA